TTTATTATATTTGTACTAAATTAGTGAAATTATGTTGATATTTTGAAGGATATATGTCTCATCACTAAATGTTATCAAAATAATCCTATTGAAACTTGATCACATTAAACATATAAATTCCACTGCATAAATTAAAGTTAGTTGTAAAACTGGCGTATTATCAACCCACAAAAACTGTGAACATTATTGCTGTTACATCTTTAGAATTCTTGTGCATTTTGTGGTTACAGATGATCTTGGCCAGCAGATAGCTTGCGTGAGCTTTTTGCTGAATTAATTTAACAGGAGTGAATTCTATAACTGCAAAGTAAGATAGTGCATGTCACCATAATTGTGCTACATTTTCATGACATCTGAAAATGCTGTTCTTGTTGCCTCTGCAGATTGATAGAATTAAACTTTTTATGGGAATCTTGAGCTGCATAAATTTGGGTTTGCATCTGATTTGATATTATTTTAGTGGGAGAATGATATGTTTACATAGAGGAATATTGGTAATTCTGATAACTTAGCACTTATCTGCATACTAAGAAACTTGTTTTCCTTTGTGAATAAAATAAAATTAGGGATGGATTAGAGTAATTTTATTAATTACTTTTTGCTTATGTAACAATATTTAATTTTTATTTTTAAATTTTGCATATTGTGTATCTGTATTATTAAATAATGAAGAATCTTTGTGTATGTCCCTTACATTGCAGGAAAATGATGGCCCCTCAAAACTTGAGTTTCCAATTGATTTTTTATTTATTTCATATTCAATTGGAATTTAAAAAACTTTGTGTGTATTAATATTTTAAAACAAAATTACTGGAGTAAAGGAGCTCATTAAAAGTTTTATTACAAAATGCATAGTTTATATCTTATACAAAGTCATTACTTCTTTTCAAGTAGGGCAACTTGAGTGTATCATGTTGTATGTTTCACCTTCTAATAAAAAAAAAAAAAAATATTTATTTTCTTCTCACGTTAAATAAAAAAAAAAATTTAAAAAAAAGGTAATTTTTTAAAATTGTTCCTAACATTTGTGTTAGCAATTTTGAAAAGGTAGCAACACTACTTTGGTAGTATTATAAATTATTTGCGAAAATCCTCCTCAAATATTTTTAGCATGCGGCATTTAAGGAAACAAACAAAAGTTAGTGCACATTCCGTTTTGTTTCATGCTAAGAATTTGTAAGTGTCAGTTAGCAGTACAAGTCTGTATTTCTATTATTTATGTTTGGCAAGTTTAGAAAAATTTATTTATCAGCAATTCATTTCAGCATGGTGGTGCAAACATTTACCATGATTTTTTATTACGGTCTATTTTTTTGTATCTTAAGACTGGTTATGTAAAAACTTTACGTGTGACGTAGCATGGAAAAATCATTTCAATACAAGCAGTTATCTTGCGTTTTCCGTGCAATTAATCGCTTCGCGTTCGCCCTATCCCATCTCGTACATAAAGCATCGTGAAAAGTCTCCAGACCGGTTTTTCTCCGACGGAAAGATAGCATCATGTGACCGGAAACTTTACCGGATGTGCTTAGTAACGCAGGTTCTTCTAGTGTAGGTGTGTTGCTATCCCTTGGTTCGAAAGTTTTCATTCACATAGTTGTCTTACCGTTACTTTGTTTACTACTTTGAAACCACTATAACACACCCAGTACCATGTTTCCGTGCCTTCGATTTTTGGTGATAAAGCTATTTATATACTTAACTGAATCATATTGTGTGTGTTTTTGTTGTAATTGATGCTGATTGCTTCGCGCTCCAGCTTGCACACCTTGATAGTTTACATCCAGCGTCGCGCATGGTTATTTAAAGGCTATGCCAGAAATACGGCGTTCCATTGTGAGTATTGCTTGTGCGTTATACTGTTTATTTATCGTCTACCAGCAGAATATCTTGATTTTTATGGCTAATGAAGAAGAAATAATTTAACTCATTTTACTAAGTAAAAGGAAAGAAGAGATATTCTGTTTTCTTATTTTAATATGACAATGGAATGTTGAGAGAAATTTTTTTTGAAACATTATTGAGATGAACAGTGTGATATTTTATGTTAATATCTTAAAAACTAAAAATAATTTAAGTATGTTGATTAGCCTTTTCATTTTTCGAAAAACTGCAATCTCTTTTCAACTCATAGTAAATAGTGAGCTTCTAACAAATAAGCTGCAATCTTTTATTACCGGATAATATTTGTTTTAATATTTTTTAAATGGTGTGAAACTTGAAGTTTTATTAAGTTTACATATAAAATATTATGAGCCTTGTAAATTAATTCAGAAATAATGCGATTCCCCCATAATTGGAATAGGAGTTTTTTTTTTAAGTATGGCATACAGTTTTTTTGGATTTCAATTATTATTTTGTTTGAGAAAATGTTTTTGTATTTCTCATACAAATTGTTCTTGTCTTGTCTCTAATGTATTTAGTTTTAAAATATAACATTTTTTAAATTTCCGTAAAATGTTTAGAGCAAAATTTTGCTCTTAAGGTATTTTATTTTATGAAAGGATTGTGTTGCATTAAACCTGTACCAGATAAGGAGAAATTTCAATGTGTACCGGATCATAGCTTCACATTTTTTCATGGAACTACTGAAAAGTATAAAATTATAATTTGATAACATAGAAAGTAGCTTATGATCATTTAAAAAACTCATCATAATTAGCATATTGGTTGAGTTTTCAAAGGTTTCCACAAATTTCAGGTTATGTACAAGTTACAACTATAATTACACTAAATTTGCAGAATTCATAACGGTGATGAATGTAAATTTTATAATAAAATCCCTTAAGTAATTTCAAATTTTGCTTTGTATGTAACAAGTATTCATGCTGTGAAGTATTTTTAACAGTCTAATGCAATGTTTATATATATATATAATCGTTAGTATGCTTATTTTTCTGTAAATTATGGTAGTGGGCTGGTTATGGAAACATCCCCTAAATTATCAAATTTTTCTGCGGACTGTTGAAATTTGTACTTGGCTAAATCTTTGGAATGCAGTAGCAGGTAGTTTGGCGACATTTTGGTAAGGCGATAAAGGTTTCTAGCTTTAGCAATAAACTGAGAAGTACACAGTTTGAATCACAGATTATTTTGTCTCAGAAAAATGAGAGAACATGAGACATGTAATGTGACATTTTTCGAAAATTCAAATCGTGATTTTAGCTAATAAGCTTTTAGAAACAATTTCCCTACTAAAGTGCAGAATCGCCCACTTATTTGTTTGGTGCTTTTTACAAGAGTAAGAAGGATTGGATTTTTGTCAATTTTCTTTGAATTTTTAAGTGAAAATAGGTCGATGTGCACATGGATAAAGTCAAGAATGTGCGCAATGCCACTTTTGTGCAATTCTGGGATTTTTTTTAAGTGAAAATAGGTCGATGTGTACATGGAAACCGTGTATGTGCAATTCTTAAAAACGCAGCAAGCAGTGGGCGATTCTGCACTTTCTCCTAATTTCGCACCTAATCTTCGTCATGATTAAGCACTTTTGTTCCATAAAAGTTCTAGCATAAGCGAAATTCGGCTAGCAGATTGTTGGCAAAAATGTTGAGTTAAAAAAAAACATGCCTTTACTTTGTGAAAACAAAATGGCGTCAAAAAAAAAATTGGCAGGTTGCTATAGCAGGGTTGGTAGCCAAAAAATTGCCAAGTTACCATAATCCGAAGATTGACCCTTTACTTTTCTTCTTTGCCACCAATCTAAAGTTGTCAGTGAGGGTAAAAGTATATTTAAAGAGTACCCCTTGGCGATGCATGGTTACTGAGCAAAAATCGCCGCTTCACAAGCTGAAATAACAAGACAAAGAATTGCACAAACGCGGTATCCATGTACACATCAACCTATTTTTACTTTAAAAAAATCCCAGAATAACACAAACTAGGTTTTGTGCACTCCCTTGAGCTTGCCCATGTACACATCGAACTATATGCACTTCAAAAGTCAAAGGAGCAGACAACAAAAAAATATATAATCTCAATAAACTGCATTTTAAACCAAACACTGAAATAACATGAAAAAGGAAATTCATCTTTACTACACAAAGTAAATATCCACTTACCTTATTTATGAATTCACACCTCTTAAGTCAAAGACAATTCCTTAGCCGCATCCGAAGACTTCCGAAAATTATGTGAACTAGAATCTGTATACTGGTGTCGCCACATAAATTTACAAAATAAGAGTTAAAAATATCCTTTGTAATGAAGTTCGACCATACACATTTCCTTCCTTCAAATAGGACACCTTATAATGGCTACTAAGTAAACCTTCATTTACACACCAGTCAAGAAATGATCTTTTCCCTTTTTTTCCAAATCGTACAGAAACTTCAAATTAATCTTGCCACATTCAGCCATTTAATTGTCTAAACCATGAAACAAGCAATATACTTCCTAACCAATACACACACACACAACAACAAGCGCTTAAGAATTTACCGCAATGATTATGTCATAATAGGGTTTCCATAACATTCAACTACTCTGGCTACCGTAAATGAAACGGTAACTTCGTGATAATACAAGGGGTACCCTAAAGTCAACTCTAACTTCAGTGAGTTAAGCTGAATATAATTTTTCGAAATATCTGTATTGCATACAATGGGCAGTTTTTACAAAGATGAATATCAAATAAAATATTGTATGGGAATGTTAAGATTTTTGAAAGATATTTAAGTAAATATACGATAAAGGAAAATTTTAACATGTTTCAGATTTGAAGAAATATTAGCATTTTAATGGTAATTGTTTTCCGCCTCCTTTATGTTGTTAAAGGAGGAAACAGTTGTTCATTATTTGTTCCCTAACTAGCTGTAATAAAGTAGTTTAATTCAAAATACCATAATTAGGGCTTTTAAATAATAATAATAAAAATTACTAATTTTTAAAATAAAAATTTTCGTTTAAGATGAGGAAAGCTCATTTAATTCATTTTATCTTTGTCTTATTATTTTTTACTGTGATATGCCTACAAGGTTACATAGTTTTTTTCTTTTTAGGTTATGAAAAGTATTTACCAGTCAATGAGATGGTGTTACCTGAAACATTGCCACATCTGAGATTTGCAATGAGCCTTAGTAGGAGTCCCTACCATGTTTGCCAGAGGTAGGACATGTATTCAACAGTATGGATACTGGAGACAGCGTACGATCGTCAGATAACATCGGTGGATCACTGATTGGAAACGGTCTCACGTCGGACGTGCTACGAGCCAGAGCAATTCAGTACTACAACTGCCATCCTCATGTACAGCGGCCAAGTTTTCACAACAATGCCATTCATAAGAGTGGTAGCATGACTCACATTAATGGGTATGTAAATGGAGCAAAGCCACCAATAAAACACGAACAAAGTCAGTGCCACATCGTGAGCCCTTCTATAGCAAACCGTCCTCCACCGCCTAAGTATCGAAACGACCGTCCACAACGCACGCACAGTGAGAGATCGAACAAATCACCAGGAGACAGTAATCTGAATCACATGGTAACAAACAATGGTATTTCTCCTACTAAAGGTAGCCTTTATAGGAGCAATAGCAGTTTGGATTTGGACCACAGTGCAGAAATGTTAGAAGATCGATCGGGCATTTTGAGACGTGATTACGGCAGTGCATCATCACTAGATATCATCAGTACAACTGGCGAAAGTTTCTTTGCAATGTTGAGGGAATTTAGGAGAGAGAACTTTGATCAGAGGAGTCCTGGGCCAGCCAAAATTCAAGAGTATTTGAAAGGGAAAATTGATCCGACTCCGTCCACCCAGAATGCCTCAAACACTTTGGCAAATGGACCCGATTCTCTTGAAGAATCTCACAGTCCAAAAATAAAAACTAAATTCCATAAGCTTTGGGACATAAAAGATCGGAACAAAATGAAAAGTAAAATGCTAAATAGTGAACCATCCATTTTCAAAAAACTCAGGGGTAATAAAACTGATGTTTCAGACTGTTCTGGTAAAGGTTCTGATAACTCTTTAGATGCGGAAGCCCGAATTGAAGACAAGTTAAGAAAGAAGGCTTTTGCACATTATGATTGTCAAAGTGTTATTGCAAATCTTAGCTATGCATCCAGGCTTCGGAGCTTGCTGAGCAAAAGACGAAACACTACGACAGGTGCTTCTGCGGCATCAATGTTGAATCGTACACCTGCCAGCAGCACTGAAAACTTGAACCCAGAGGATTCTGATCCTGGAGATGGACGTAGCAGTGAACTACTTCTCAGCTGTCCATTTTTTCGTAATGAATTGGGTGGGGAAGAAGAGAGGGTTATCAGTTTGAACAGAATGACTTGTAAAAAGCAGAAAGTTCCCGATGACGCATTTGGTGTGTCTCCGACACTTCATAAACCAAATATGGCTTATGGTGTGTCTGTGCTCGAAAGAGGTGCCACTTCTAGATGGAGCCAAATGTTTTGCCCATACCAGAGACAGCCACTTCAAATGGAAAAAACAGGCACTGGTGCCTTATATTACAGACATTTTTTTCATGGTCAAGGTATGTATTTTTAATATAACCTTCCAACATGCGTGTATGTGCAAAATTTTAGACAAATTCAGTTTTTAATGCATATTTTTCGCATATCGAAACTGAGACGTGTGAAGGTCATTTCTATTCCTCCTTTCTACCCTTCGCCAAATCATGGAATGTGCCAACAGGAAGTCATTTGACTTCCTTTGGTACTTTTTCGTTTCGCCGGCACAAATCTCGCCAAGCAGATTTTGTTGACGACAACATACAGTATACACATAAAAAATATTAAAAAAATTTTAGTTTTAAGAATTCTTTTTTTGAAGACATAAACATTTTAATATCGCTTAAAACTTTTGTAAAAAGCCAATAAATAAAGACAATAAATTTGTCAAAAGACGTTAATTTAAGAATTTACTATGCTTTTCATGGTTCAACATCCTAATTCGCTGGTTCATATCACGTGACCCTGAAGCGATCTCATCTCACGTTAAACTACTCTACAAAAATCTAATGCTCTCAGTAACTATCGTTAATTTTAAGTTAAATCTTAATTTAGAACACAAGTTTAAATGCATGCAAGAATTATTTCAATGCGTACGAATAGCTTAGACTCAGAAGTTATGTAAAACCGCAGTGTGCTTTACTTTCACTAGTGCAATTCTCATTAGAATTGATGAATTTAACCCTTGACTTTGCCTTTTCTATATTTTCGGCCTTCGGGTAAGAGCAGTGTGATTGCATTCATAATTGACTTAATTACCAAAATGACCTTAGGACATAAAACTGGAACTATCTGGTAAAAATTCTATGTGTAATTATATGCCAGTATTGAAAGAAACAATCAATCTGATAAGAAAAAAGCTGCGACTGTTTTGAAAATGAGCGTAAAAGGTTACCAGCGAGAATATTCCATTGGCATCGGTAGTACCATTATTGGCGACTTTATCGCTTGCGCCTGCAAAACGGAAAAGTACCCTCTTTTTTTTTTAACTGGACTTTTGTATTACGTGGCAGCTTTTTCATGACACAAGTGTGGCCGTGTTTTAAAATTCAGAAAGTTTTTTTTTCCTCAAATCTTTTGTAATTTTGTGTTATTAATTACCATGTATTATTTTAATTTGAATACATTTGGCTCTGTAAATTTTATATCGGTTTTCATGTCAAAAAAATACAGTCAAAAGTCGTTAATCCGGACTCGTCGGGACTTCGGCGATTCCGGATTATCGATTTTTCCGGATTATAGATCATCAGTTTAAATCTGGTAAGATGGCGTGCAGAAATTATAAAATTAAAAATATGAAACCGTAATTTATGAAATAAAGAACGGTTATGATCTAAAGGATATCAAAATTTACAAAAAAAAAAAAAAAAAAAAAAAAAAAAAAAGCTTAATATTTTACTTGTTTACTTTATTAAACATTTCTTTCAATGTAAGTTGTTTAAGTTGCTTCGTTTTTTATGTGATAATACATTCTCTTTAATTCTATAAACAGACATAATTTCCTGTTCAGTTACAAAGTTCCGCTGTTCAAGTCCTATAATTGCTATGTCGAGAATACCAATTTGTCAAACGAAATTTTTTCGATTTCAATAACCTCTGTCACTTTCTTCGCTATCGGAAGCGAATTATGATGACGAGGAATTTGATTTAAATCATATCAAAGACTGAGTACATTGAGATGAAATACTACATTTAGTAAGGAATTATAAGCCAAAATAAAATAAAAACATCTGCCCTGAAGATAAGGATAGTGCTGACAGATCAACTTCCAATTCATTGTGCACCGCAGCGTTAAAGATAAACAAAGTTTAGATAAACAAAGGATATGCCTTTATCCACTTTTTGTTTAATAGACTTCGAAACATACTTTCGCTTTGTAGATCCTTTACATATTAGTAAATATATATCAGAAATTCTATTTGACATAATCGAAAGTTCAAGCTTACTTTCATAAAATTGCTCTAACAGTCTGCAAAAAATAATAAGCTGAATCCAATTCGAAGATTAAGGAACAACGCAGTCTGCAACATTAACTGAATTAGATAATTTTAGTTTAGCTTATACCGTCTGTTATACATTAAACGTGCATTCGTAAACGTATTTTGCGCACGCACACATGCATATTCGCAGCCGTAAATGTCTTGCGCGCATGTGTCAAGGCGATGCATGCGCAGAAAAGTTTGTAGCTTTGAGGTCCGGATTATAAATCATTCCGGATTATGGGTGTCCGAATTAACGACTTTTGACTGTATGTGCAAACACCTGATTTTGCTCAGATTCTTCAAGAATTATCTGATGAAGAAAAGACTAGGAAACCTTTGGATGGGAGAACAATAGCAATTTCCATTCCTTATTTTCTTTTATTTCTATTTTTTAGAAATAAATAAAAACATTAAAGTTAGTTTAAAGTTCGTTTTTGTAAACAATAAGACATAAATTTCCTCACAGAAGTAAGTAATGCTAAACTTACTTTTTTCCTACCAAGGTGTTTTCCTTTTTTATTGTCTATACTTGTCTTTGGTGAATATTAAAATTAGTTTCTATTTAAAAATATAATTATTAAAAAATAAATTTTAAATTTTCTATAATGAAATGCTTCATTGCATTTCCATCTCACTAACACAAGAACTTAAAAATAATTTACTTATATTTGTGTGTATATCATTTGTGTTTATATATCATTTGTGTTTTGCAATAATAAGATTAATATTTTATTTCTTAACAAATTTATTATCTATATTCACTCATATCTGTCGTTTTTTGTGCCAGAAATGGTAAAATCACGGATGGAAAAGATGCAGCGCATGCTTTGGAAGGTTAACTAATCATGTCATTCTATTATTCATTGGTGTGCTGTTTCCTAACCTTTTAAAATACATGATGTTATTTGCGTATAAATGCAGTGCAGGGTTTCCTTAATATTATATATGTTACAAAGCTCAGATTTAAGAATATGCCACGTTTTTTGTAATTCTTAATTTATTTGGTGTTTGTCTTCTGTAATGGGCTTAGCAAGAGAAAAATGGAGTTGATACAATTCAGGCTTAAGAAAACGTAATTTGATGTAATTTGTTACAAATGTAATGTAATTATGAATGTAATATGATGTAATATGATGAGTAATATGATGAATTCTATGGATGTTACAAACATCCATAGAAATGAAATTGACTGTGATAAACAATAAATTGACAATTTGTTCAATATCTGTACAGCAGAAGTTATTTAATATATGTAAGATAAAAAATATGAAAACAAACTTCTAAATTTAATTGGCTTTAAACCTCTTTTATTTTATATTAAATTTGGTAACCTTCGCTTCCTATCTTAAAAATACTGCTATAGGTCTAAACTGTGTCATTGAAAATAACCGTGCAATCCTTTGTAATGCCCAATGCAGATACCACTTGCCCAATCAAATAATTATAAACTAAAAAATTTTTCACTCGGAACTGAAGCTTTTGACTCCTTCCTTTCTTTGAATTATTGCGTCTCTTTTTGCTTCAACTTCTGTACTATGTGGATGCTTTGCTATGCTTGCTTCTATCGCCATAATGTCTAAAATGTAAATGTTCTGGAAATGGGCACGACTGGAGTGCAATGTGAATTTAAATAAAAAAGGAAATTAATCCAGCTTGACTTTTTCCTTTTTAATATGGATCAAGTATGTACACGAAACAACATTGCTGCACTTTTACATCTCGGTGTTCTTACATTAGTGCTTTCAAAATTGTGCTGTCATTACATATATATAGAACAAATTTAATTTAAATTTGTATTTGCTATAGTATTTAATACAGTTTTGTCCACACTTTATTGAAAATAACATAATTCAACAGAATTTACTTAACATATACATTAATTATACTTTTTATAGGGTTTTCTGAAAGGTCAAATGCATTTTTTCTATATTCTTCAAAGGTCCTTTATTTATATAAAGAATAATGATCAGTCAATAGCATGTTGTCAGTTTTCTTCAATAACTTTTTGCTTTCTTTTAATCAGCTTGTAATTCATCGTTCACGAAAGAACCTAGCCTCATCGAACAAGGTGCTGATTTACAGCCTCATCTTAACTGAATGTTATACCATGATAGAAATTTTGATGAGAATGAAATAAGTGAAATTTTGAGGGCACAAGATCAGATCAGTATAATACAACATGATATGATATGGCAACACTTCCCATTCGAACTCCAGTAATTTTTGTCATGTGATCAAATTTGTGCCTAGTCTCACATTATTAAGATTGAATGTGATGAATGAGTTCTGGAAATTTCTGGAAGATAAATTCTTTGAAACTGTCCTGTTGGCAACAGCGCTCATTTAAACTGATTTATTGTCTCATTAATAGGAGCTCAGAAATAAGGTACATAAAAGTTTGATCACTGACAAAAGTTATTGGAGTTTGGTAAAGTGTTGCCACACATTATCACCTGACCTTATGAAATCACTTTACCTTCAGAATTTCACTTGTTTTGCTCTAATCAAAATTGCTTTTGTGGTATAACATTCATTTCAGATGAGGCTGTAAATTGGCACCTTGTTTGAAGAAGCTAGGTTTTTTTTTGTGAACGACAAATTACGAAGCTCATGAAAAGAAAAAAGTTATCAAACAAAACGGACTATACACTGTTGACTGGTCATTATTTTTTATATAAATAACGAACCCTTAAAAAGCATAGAAGAAAAGAATCATAACTTTTATTTAAAATAACATACATGTTAAAAAAAATTAATTATGACTTTAATACTAATTTTTTTGCAGTTTATTTAAAAACAGTATGTATCATTCCAGAAAATTAATTTTTTACACTCTTTCTGACAGCCAGAGTTCAACAGTTGTTAATAATGCCTCGGATAGCAGTTATACCTTCTTTCTACCTGTGATGGGATATCTAAACTAGTAAGCATAATGGATTTTTAACAGTAAAAAGCTGTTTTACTGACACAGAGTAATTATGAAAATCATCAGATTGTCATTCCATTCTCATACATGCATAGATCAGTATTTGTTTCTAGCACATGAGCAGATAGGTAGCCATTCGTGTTAAGCATTGACCATTGAAGTCCAGATATGTGATTGTGGCCCAGATACTACTGAAATTCTGGATTTATAACCTTCTGAAATTCAGAATTTCTTGTTTTGTTCATAGACTTATAATGTTTCTCAAATTTTCTTTTAGAAAAAATATCATTGAGATTTTCTTGAAATCAAAAACTTTTAGATTATTGAGAGAAATTAGGCAGGAGCTGAAATATTCAGGATGGAAAGCAGAAGAAGAAAAAGAAGATGAAAAGCAGAAATACTCAATTGTGGCAAAGTCCTAGTTTTAATTTCCTTCCATGATATTGTCTTAGTTTTAATTTGCTTTCATGTACCCATTCTTAAAAGTTCATTTAATTATATAATGATAGAGTATAAAATGTCTTTGAACACAGATAGCCTAATACTGTAAAACATTATTTATTCTCAGTACTCAAAAATACATATGAAGCTTTTGGGTCAGAAAATTTCTCTTAAAATCCTATTGATAAAGATTTGAGGGATAATTTATTGGTTAACTGGGAAGCTTAACTAGTTCATTGAACTATTCTTATAGCAATTCCTCATCTCCAACTTATTTTAATATGCATACTAATCAAATACTGTCAAAATGCCTTGCTGAACTTTCAATTGTTAATAAATTAAAATATTAACAGCAGTTTTCAGAAATTAAAGCATGATCAAAAAAGAAAGCAAGCTAAACATAGCAGTTGTTTTTTAAAATATTGTGAAAGTAAAGAGGCAGGCAACTGCACAAAATCCTATTGTGAAACATATTTAAAAAAATAAAATATATATATATCACTTCTCTAATGAAATTTTCCTTAATATTGTATTGGCATAATTACTTGAAATTAAGTTGCATTTTTAGTCCACAGGTAGTTTTCAGGGTTTTTTAAATGAGGTCGCAATCATCACCCCTGGACCTCAGAAAGTATTGAGTGACAGGAGGTTGAAAACCAAGCAGGTAGCAACATGATTGCATTTCATTGAAAGTTATTTTGGCATTCTACATAACCATGAAAATTTTTAAAATAAATTGGAAAAACACATTTTTAGTACCATCTCAAGCAAAGGCTTCACATGATGGCTAACTTGATTTTATGAACAATTCAAAAACAACAATATACCATTTGCTGTAAGAAGCTATAGTATAAATCATAGAACTTTTTTACTGTCACTCATAGCAAGAGATGTAACATGGTTCTGTATTATGATATTTTTTGGAAGAGGAAGTTCTTTTGAATGGCGAAAGGAATTGACATGAAGTAAAGCAAAAATGCAGCAATAAATGGAAAGGATTATATCCTGAATTTTTTGAGATTGTCAAAAGTTAGTTATAAATGTGAATAATAAGTAAGAATACTGTTATGAATAGAAGTAGTATGGGTATGCCTGTATTAATTTAACCATCTTTGCACAATTTGGCATTTTTTTTACACCTATAAAACTTTTTTTAGGAATGACTCCAGAACTATTGATATTTATCCTAACCCAGCATATGTTTATTACCAACATGTAAAGAAAAAACATATGTTAGCTAGTTAAAATATGAATTTTAATTATTAACTATGGATTATATGATGAAGACTTGCATCTTTTGTGAAATACTTCTGTAATTTTTTTTTTGTACTGTTTTTCCCATGTACACAGCAACCTGTTTTTGCTTAATCAGAGAATTGCATGAGCTCTGTCATTGTGAACAACTTAGGAAATGCACATCACCTATCTACTAAATGCATCTCATTATTGTTCCCTTTAATAATAATGACAAAAAGAAATTTTTTTCATTGTTGGCAAATTCATTGCTGGCATAGATGTATATTTAATTGTTTAAAACAAGACTGCCCTTATTTTTATTAGTATTTGTGAGTGATTGTTGACAGCGTCTACACAAACTGTACTTGAATATATTTATTCAAAAAATAAAATTCAAGTGTGGTTGTGTCAGAAATCTTTGCAATTTAAGCATGAAAACGAAATATTTCGCTTGAAAGTTATTTGATTATTAATATTAAATTATTTCAGTATTTTAGTTTAGCTGCACCATTTTGTTTTTAAAAGTTTTTCTTTTTTCCATTTTACAGAACATCAAAATTGGTTTGGAATTGATGAAAACCTTGGTCCAGTTGCAATAAGCATTAAAAGGGAGAAAGTAGAACACACTGACAACAATGCCAAGAATAGCAATGGAGCTTTACCTCATTATCAGTATAGATTAATAATTCGTACAAGTGAGGTATGTTTCAAGTTGTTTTTAAGCACATTTTTTTGGATGCTCGTGTTTTTCACCTTTCTTTGCAAATAAATATCAGTTATAAATATTAGATAAATGACGTCAAATCTGCTTGTTTTAAATAATTTCCTCTGGATGTTTTTGCTTAAAAGAATAGTTTATTCAAGTAGTTCTGAAATTGAACTCTCATAAGTATTCAGATGCTTTGAACAAACAGTTTATATTCAATAAAAATATGAAAATAACGGAATTGCCACATTTTGTTGGGTATTCTTTTCCTAAAATTCTACTATTTGCTCTGGCCCTGGCATAGGTTTAACAAAATTTTTCTTGTAAGAATGCTTTATTTTGTTCCATTCCTTTGTAATGATTGCTTTTAAAAGAGAGCTTCTGAAGAAATGTCATATTTTCTTATTCTTTTCTCCAACTCATTCCATGTATGTTTGATAGGATTTAAGTCCGATGAATATGGGAAAATTTTGGTAACTTCAGTACAGTTGTATAATAACTACAGGTGAATGTTTAAGACTGTATGCTTAGGATTGTCATCCTACCAGAACTTGAATGCAATAAAAAATGTACATACACTTATTGAAATATACTTATTATATTATAATAAGTGGTATAATAAAAGTAAATACAGTAAGACCCTGCTTAACACGCAGTATATGTTCCATCAAAGTAGAGCATAATATGAAATAGCATTAAACGAGATTATCTCATCATGTAAATAATAGGGTTAGGAGAAGATGAGTTGAAAATTGGTCAGGTATTTTACCATTAAATTGATTAAATATGTTTTTTATAACAATAACACAAAAAATTATTTCTTATAAATACAGAAACATAATAAACAAATATAATAATAATATTTATTTATTTTATATAAAAAAATAAAATTCTAAGTTAGTATGTTTACATTTTAGATCATTCAGTCTCTTCTGCATTTCCAATTTTCTGCCTTTTTATCAAGAAATTATCTAATGTGGTTTGCATTTTCCTTTTGTGCTCTGTAAGAAGTTGTTGGTAAGTGGATAAGCCATCCATAACACCCCTCTTGCCTTTAAACTCCTGTCAAAATTTGGGTCATTTTCAATCAATTGGTCCATAATTTCTGTTATAGTGGTCAAACTGGACTTTTGAAATGCTGTTGAAAGTTCTTTTTGCTCTTCTTCAGAATCACTACTTTCAATATTTTTGTGTTTTTGGTCTGCTAATTTCTAGAGCTCATCATTAGAAAGACTTACTGCTATTTCTTGCACTATTTCTTGAACATCTTCCATATTTACCTTTAGATCTTGCCTTCTGTATCACCACTTCCTGCTTATCCTATAATCTGTATGTTATGAAGATTATTTATGTTTAAATCTCTTAAACCATCCTCGACTTGCAACGAAATTTTCACTTGTGTCACTTGCCTCAACCTGAATGTAATTAAAAATTCTTCTTGCTTTTTCCATTGTAATAGATTGGCTTAATGGCATGTTGCTTTCAGTTTCGTTGTCAATCCATATAGAAAGTCGTTTTTCCTCTATTGTATTATTTCTAAAACGGGTAATTCTAGTTGCAGTTGCCGATGGCAGTATTGTTTCTTTATTCTTAAGAATAGTCCTTATTGTTGAAATTGCCAAATTCAATGGAGCACCAATTTGAGATTGACATTCACCAGTATCTAATCTTCTAATCACTTACATTTTATTTTCTAGTGAAATGCTTTTTCTTGTTGCTTTATTTTCACGTTTTTTATTATCTATGATATCAGTTTTAAACTTGTAAGTAAAATAGTAACTATCAGCTAATTCATTAATTAACCCTAAAATAATAATTGAAATTTATACTAAAATTAAACTAGTAATGCAATTTTGAAATTCATTTAAAAATCTTTTTATAATCACATTCTTATTGAGATATTTTCTTTTAAAAACAACTATTGTTTGTATGTGTTTATGTGTGTCTATGTGAATGTGTTTGCGCTTCATATTATTTTCTCAGTATTGTTGTAGATCGACAAATATTTAAAAAATAAACCCCCTTAACTTCCCTCACTGATGTCTGGACATTTTCTATAGTTTGCAATTCCTCTGAGGCGTTTTCTGTATAACAGCCACATATTCAAAACAGTTTAGAACTCATTTTAAGAGATTAGCCCTCTGCATTGTCTGTAATATGGTCTTCTAGCAAAGATATCGACTTTACTTATCTCCTCCAAAGTCTCCTTCATTTTCACAAAATTCAATTTACTGAGCTTCTATCCTGTAATGACATTTGAAAGCTTTTATCATACTTTGAAATTAAGGTTGGAAGTTAAAAGTGATGTTTGCAGGAAGAGACTGGTGTTTTTCAATGAGAGATCAGAAATGTGTGTGCTGCACAGTTATCTAATTAGTAAGGCCATTTTTTTCACTTTTAAGTTCACTGTATTATTTCAAGAGGAAATCGGCAAAAATAATATTTGTCATACATGAGCTTGTGGAGCTTTAATATGTTACAAGTAACTTTTTTACTCTTTTCGAACATTGAGGTTTTCAGCTTTTATTAATAACCAGTGCAGTCTTCATTGTTGAGTCTATACTGCATATTAACAACACTGTAACTTATTCCTTCAGTTTCTTAAAATAGTTGCTGTTTCACTTTAGTGCTCGTAATGCTCTGTAATACAATTTAACTTCAATTATATTATAAATTTCACAGCACTTCAGCTGCATGATGATTCGCTTCTTTCTTCTCGCCTTGCAATTTTTAATGAATGATCTTAGATTTCTTTTTTTCCAACTTTTAGCCACAAGTCAGTTGATATAAAATTTTCTCCTACCATTTAGCAAATTAGTGAAAACAGCCCTATATATATATATTTTAAAATTTGTGTCTCAAAAGGAGTGCAAAAAGATATAAAATCAAAAGATGGTGAAACTGCTTTTTTAGAATAGCTTCATATATATATATATATATTTGAAGCTATTCTAGGAAGGAAAGCAGTTTCACCATCTTTTGATTTATATCTTTTTGCACTTCTTTTGAGACACAAATTTTAAAAAAAAAAAATTTTTTTTTCAATGATTTATTCAGATTTCAAAATTTATGTTTCTAGCCAAGAGAATGATTACCCTTTGTCTGTTTCGACAATCTGCCACTTACAAGTATGACCAGTGTTTTCCTTACTTTTTTTTTCAGTCCTTGGTTACCACTACCTTTCTATTCAAAGTCTGTTAATGCATGGTAATGCGTGGAAGTATTTCATAAACTTCTTCCTACTACCTTTCTTTAAATATAGTGTTTATCCCAAAGGGATATTGATTTTGAATATAGGAATCTTAAAAGATTAGATACACAATTTGCACTTCCACTTCCTATCAGCTGATATTTGAGAATAAATTCTCCCTCATTTAGAGTGGCTCAAAGGATTGTTTTTGTGAACCTTAAGATAAGCAAAACCTGCTTCTGTAAAATCTATCGTGGACAAGGAAATCTGAAAATAGTCTCACAGATACAGGGACTGTGGGGGATAAGAAAATTTCAGTCGAACCTGCTTTATTTGAGGCTGTACATACTTGAACAATAAAGCTACGGAATGAAAGATTTAACTACGAAAAAGCTTTGGTAGGTAGAAGTAGGATATTCTGGCATGAAAAATTAGTCTTTTGCCAGTCTGAGTTTAATAAGCAGCAAAGATGAGTTTAATAAACGCTGGTTTTTCTATAGATTAATATGCATTTGTTTTGTATCCTTGAAATTTGAAGATAATAAGTGGTTAAATTTAGTAATAATCAAGAGCAGGTATTGTACATGACAAGCATAATCTTCTGAAACATTTCGACAAATCTCTGATTATCTGAATTAGTGTGTGGGCTTCTGATTAACACTTTTGAGATAAAATATTGCAAAAAATATTTTAATATTTATTTTATAACAAGTCTTAAAACAAAGAAAAAATAATATACAGTGGAGCACTATTTATCTGTCTTTCATGGGACCTTTCACAAATGACATATATATAAGAAAGCCATATAGATGAAACTTCATCATGTAAACCATTAATGAAGCAATTTTTAATTGTTTTTTGCTTTTACTTGTGTCCTGGCAAGTGCCGGTATAAAAAATATAAAATAAAGGACGCAATCAAATATGTATGTAATACCAGCCATGGTAGAGGCCTGGGAAAATCTGTTATCTAGACCTATTCCTCAAGACCTCCCAAGGCACATTGCGGTTGCAAGCTTTAGAGTCAACATTGCTCATGACTTCTTATATGGACACTTGCACCATGTTGTTGTTGTTTCTTCTCCCAACTGCTTCCTGTGTTCTACAGGGAACCAGATGGATTTTAATCATATCTTGTTGTATCCTCATCTTCAAGACAAAAACCTCTCTGTTGCTGAACTGTACTGGCTAGTGCGGCATTATGGTCCTTGGACTTTTTCCCAATGTAGGATAAAAAAAAAAAAAAAAAAAAAAACTGAAATGTTTCAGATTTTAAATTACGTCCAAAGGGGCGTTTTTTTAACGTTTTGAGTGTTACCTTTATTTATTAAATATCATGTTCTTTGTACTTAAACCATAAAATTCAGTTCAAGAGCAATATCGCAAAATAATGTTAAATTAAGCATATCTTTAGAATTTCCGATATACACAGTCTCGCAAGCTGGAGATAAAAGTTTTTTTTTTTTCTATATAACGTTGCCATTTCTCGCTTTTAAAGCATTGAGTTTGTAAATCAAAAATTCGTTAAAGTTTTACAAAATATAAAATCTATAATAAAAACAAATTCCAAATTTGGGATTTCAGATGCCCATATTCGCAGTAGGATTTCGTCATTCAAAATTCGATGGCTCTATGTACCATTGTTTTATCACAATGCGAGAAATAGACAATCATTTATGCAGATTTTTCATTATTTAATTTCTTCAAATATAATGCAGGAATCTAACATTTTGTGGCAACAGTTTGAAAAGTGAACCGACGTTTATGAGTCCGACGCAAAATCGCAAAACGAAAACAGTAGTCCTTCAGGGACAAAGCCCCTTTGGACTAATTATGTGTTTGAATTATGACAGCTTTGATCTTTTATAATTCGTTATGACAGGTTTGATCTTTTATAATTCGTTTATTGACAACAAATATATTGTTGTAAATATTTAAATCCTTTGTGTTTGTATTACCACATGTCTGTACTGTTGTGTAATGTTTTACTTTATTGCATTGTTATCTCTGTATTTGTCATTTTTAGGATTTATTTTGTGCTTTAATCTAATTTTTAGCCACATGTTTTGTATTTAAGTTTGTAATTCTTTTCTAGATTTTTTGGTTCTGAGTGCAATAACATTTGAATTGTAAAAATAGCTCAATTAGAGTACAAGATATGGGTAAATTCATTCCTGACAGCCTTGGGTACATTTAGTGATTTCTCGTCAGCTTCGTGATTTTGTGGGAGATTCACAAAAATACATTTTTGAAGTCCTACAACCGATTCTTCCAGAATTTCCATAGCCCTTGCTATAGTACGTAAATACAAGTCTGAGAGCAAGGGTGTTCATCTGTGAATCAACTGTGAGACTGAATTATGATTTAGGGTTTTCCCAGAGAGTGATTTAAGGAACTTAATTATATTTTTCATATACTAGGGAGGAATTGCTTAATATCCACATTCTCCTTTAACTATGTATCGTGCTATATGTGCTATTTATTGAGCCATGGAAATCTCTTCTCTACATATAATAAAAGAAAGAATCTGTCTGTGTGTGTGTCTTTTGTTCGAAATTTGGTACGTCGGTGCATCTAGACAAGAGCCAGTGCACCTTGAGGCGATTTTCGAAATTTGAATTTGAATTTTTTATTTTATGTTTTGTGACGAAATCGCGTCATTTTGAGACATAATGGGCTATAGGAAAGTGAGATTTGACTCTACACACTTCTATTTTCACATCGCCATGAAATGTAGGCACTTAGATATTTTACGAACTTAAAATAAATTTCGTGTTTCAATAAATCGATTAAATACGAATTTATTTAACAAAGGGAGCTTAACACCTTTTCAACGGGATTTTTTCTAAAAAAGTTTATTTTTAAAAATGTACTGTTTATTTTTCTTTGATTTTTGGATACGTTAAACTTTCATCCTTGCAACTATTTTTACAAAAAGAATTTTTGAAAAATGATAATATTTTGTATTTAAAAAAAAAATTTTAAATGAAGCGTCCGAGTACACTTCTCACATCTCGCATCTTTAAAAATGTGATTTTGGCAACAATTTTCCTGTCTTATTGTTGTTGATAGATTTTTGATGAAATCGCATCATTTTGAATAGTTTCATTCTTTTAGAAATATGTATTTGGCAACAATTTTTCATTGTATTTCTTATGTCGCTGTTTTTAAGAGATTGGCATATTTCATTGTCATTTTTTTCATATATATAATACATTTTTATTGATTTTTTTTTTTATAAAGTTGTTCTGCAGAGTAAAATTCTGTGCGGAATTTTATGTTTTTTGAGTTGCTTTCATGTTATTTTTTGCTTATTTCACTGTTTGTAAGATATTGAAAAGTTTTGCATGATTTTTTTCCTTCAACGGAAAGTTGATTAATTTTTTATTAGGATAATTAACATTTGTATTAAGGGATACAGCTTATTTCATTGTAATTTTGTTATACGTAATAACTTTTTTTTATGAAGTCTGCAGAGTAAAATTCTACGCAGTTTTTAAATTTAACGTTTGGTGTTTCCTTCAGCCATTTTTTTTAAAAGCCAGACGAAGGCTGGCAGCGAAGCTGCTAGTTGTATAATAAATTGTGCATGGCTTCCTGTTTATGTGGATTTAGTATTTAAAGAAACAGCAAAGAACCATTGTTATGGGAGATGTTAAGGCAACTAAAGTCAGCTTAATGTATGTAAATTTGCTTTAAACATAAAAGCTTCTTTTTCAGGTGCAGAAGTGCAAATGAACTTTTGAAGTCAAAGCTAGTCCTGTGAATTTACTATTACATTGATTCTTTTACCTTAATTTCTTCACTAATCATTATTCAGCATGTTATTTTAATTCAAAGAATCATAGGCTTGACACAGCTCTGGATGCTCTAGCAGGCAAGGAACGCATTTCTGTTTCTACTGTATAGATGTGATAGAATTTTATGTTGAACTTGAAAAGAGCTTTAACAAAATGTTTGAAATGTCCGTACATATAGTGGGGACATAGTTAGCCATGCTTTAATGTTTCAGTGATGCAAGACTCTAAGTTGGTGGCATATGAGTGATCGACAAAGCTACCTTTAAATATCATTATGGATGTAAGCACTGCGTAGCCATGGGCAGAACAGTTAGCATTGACTATTATGTAAATGGCTTGAAAGCATTGGTGTGGAAGCCACAAAGACGAAATGTGGGAATTTTTTCCCGAGACATTTTCCATCTCAAATGTATCAACCCTAGTGCTCAGTGGCATATGATTTCTAGGCATTGAAATGGTAGTTACGCAAGAAGAAATTTTTCAGAAATTCCTTTTCAGAGATGATAAAGCATCTGTGATGTTAAGCGGGTGTCACAAAATTAATTTTTGGTAAAAGGTCTCAAATTTGAAATAAAAATTAAATTGTATCTAGTCATCTGATTCATAATAACAGAAGCAATCTTAAATATTTTCACTTGGTCTTTGTACATCTTTCCAGGTACATAAATGAGGGAAAATTTGAGGAAAATTAATTTATCACATGTTTTAAAATGCATTCTGATAATATATATTAAATAGTATACTAAGCACTTCATTACTGCAGATATTAAAATGGGACTATAAAATGTATAGAACTTGAAGTAAAAAAAAAAAGTCTTGGAAGTTGAGCGTTTGATCTGGCAGCAATGTGGACTTCATGTTTGTAGAGAAGGGCGAGGAAACATTCAATGACTTCCAGTTCTCCATAGGAATTTTTTTCATAAAGTGTTTTGCTAGTGCATTCTTAAAAGGAATGACATGAATTCCGAGCAATGTTGTGCTGTCAGAATTTTTGCTTCAGAGCTTAGCGCGATGAGACAGAAGAAAATTGCAAAGCTTCAGCAGGTTGGTGGAGACAGTGTTCTGTCAAGAGCTCAGGTTTTCATTAGATTTAAGCATTTTCAGAAGAGAGGGTATTCATTGAACACAAACCCTACAGGGAAAAACATGCAATAACTGGAGAAAATGTTACCAGAATCTGATCTTGTGTATTCCCATCGCTTGACATCAGAATGATTAAAGAAGAGTTGAATGTGAATCACATTACCATTCATCAAATTTTGACAAATGAACTGGGGATGAGGATAATCTCTATGAAAATTGTTCCAAAAGACCTTTTGCAGGGACAGAAGATCAAGAGGTGGGACCGGGATTTTTGGATCAAATTAAAAATGATCCTTGTTTTCGCACTGTGTCATTACCAACTCAAGTCTGGCAAGTTTAGGGTGTTTGAGTGCAAAAAATTCCTAGAGCCAAGAATGGTACACTTCAAACTCATCAAGCCCCCCCCTTCCCCCCCAAAAAAAGCAAGAAAGAACAAGTCAAGATTAAAAGCATGCTGATTTGTCCACAATGAGTTTTTAAGAGTTTTTGCTTCCTGGGCAAACCGTGAATCAACAAGCTTGCTGAGAAGTTCTTGAAAGAGGGTCATGCATTTGAGTTTAAGAATCAATACCAGCTGGCTACTGCATCACAACAGTATACCTTGTCACTGAGTGTTTTCAATTAATTGAGTTTTTGGAAAGTAAAAATATCCCTGTGGCTCTTCAGCTCAACTCACTTGAAACCATGTGATTTTTTTTTTTTTTCTTTTCCCAAGAAACCAACCCTCAGAGAACATTTTGGATGGCACCAGGAAATATTAAGATGTCTATAAAGAACCAGCTAAAAACAGGTCTGTTAACTGAATTGCAGCATATCATCTCCAGAACTGTGTCTTCCCAAGATGATTGCTGTGAAAGAGATAATGTGAGACTGTAATTTTAAGTCAATAAATTTTTTTTAAAAATCAGCCTCATTACTTTGATATGCATACCTTGTAGTTTCATAGGTGAATTACTTTATTTATATTATCATTTTTTTTTTTTTTTTTTTTAAAGTTGCTAGTAATGAGAGGCACCGTGCAAGAAGAATCTGTTCCAACAATAGCTCGGACAAGTCAACCCAGGGTTTGGCATGTAAAAGAAGTGATTGAGTATGTTGCCCCTGAACTTCATCTTCCATGTCTTCGCTTAGCTGTTCCTGGTCCTCAAACTGAAGAGCATTTATTAAGGCTGGATGAACAAGGGGTAAGCTGTTACCTTAAGTCATTTAGAAAGCCTGTATCGTAATATTATGTAAACTATTCTTTTTTAGCATCTGTACTAAAATTATATTTGAATGGCACAATTTTTTTGAACCATTAAATTTCTTAGTAGTTAATCATGCTTATGAAGAGCTGCATTTAAACAGCATCATTAGCTGGATTTGCATAATTACTTATTTTACTCTGTTTTCACCTTCTGTTTATTAGGATGGTATTTAGGTCATGGAAGAAATCAAGAAAGGTCATGAAAGAAAGTGTTTTACATAATAAGGTAGTATTGTAATAGCAAGGTAGACATGTAGCAACAAATCTCATGACTGCATTAATGCTGTCATACTATTCAGAAGGTTAACTCATAGAATTTCATGAAATTGCAAATGTGTAAAGATCTGAGTTTTAAAATGCTTTCTTTTCAGAAGCTTCTAAATTACCAAAAAATGTATTATTTTAATAAATCATTAAACATTCAGTTTAATTTAAAACAAGGCCATGCAATATATACATATTGAGATTTGCTTAGGTATATAGACTTTTAATCTGAAAAGGAAAGTTGGCGAAAAGACAGTTGAAGTGTTGGAAAAGAAAATCTCAAAAAACATTTCTCATCTTTTGCTACTAGCAAAAAGGAACAAAATAATTGATAGTTAATTGCTAGTATAACCAAAATATAATGTGCCTTTAAATGTGTGAAATTTTACTATAGAACGTTTGTGAATATATGAATTATTTGATTCATCTGAACTAGCTGATTTTTAGCTCCTCAATAGTTGTTCGTACACTGACTAAAAAAATTAAAGAAACAATTAAAAATTTATGTAACCTTGAATAATTTTTCAGCTAGAAACATGTAACTCCCAATATCTTTGTTTTGCCATGCCTTACATATCATCAAAATGCAACATTGCTTATTTCTGCGAAAAATAAATTCAAATAAGAATACAGGAAATGTGATAGAAAGTGGAAAAAGGAAACATTGGGTGTTGTAGCTTTCTAAAGATACACAGAAAAAATTAATAAGGCCTGTTGTCACTCCCGACAAAAATGCAAGTTGTACAAAGGTTTTCAAGGTATGTATTAGATATTCCAGTTCTTTGGTAAAAAATTGTATTTAGAATTAGTAGCACCTTGAAGCTCCTGAAGATTGCTAGGTGGTTTTCTAGTGTGTCCCATATATGTCTTATTGGACTTAATCAAAGAGGACTCAGCTGCACACTTTGGTACTCTAGTCTCAATCATTTCAACATCACTGCACAGCCTGTGTTTGTATGAAACAAATCAAAAGTTTAATTGCATATAACCTTCTTTTATGCAGCCTGTCACTTGGGGGTTTGTCTGATTAATCGAGTTTTTGCAACTGCAGTAAACTTCCTTGCAGTTTGAACTGACATGTATTGTCAATTTCTTTAAGCATTGACTGCCAAATGATGTCCTGAGAGACTGTTCCGTCTCATTTCGACTGTGAAATGCCTGTCTGCGTGCATCACCAGTGTCTTTAACCCATTTCTATATTATCTTTTGTCTACTGCTACGTTTTTACAGTCTGTATCAGTGGTTTTCTTGCTTCCATTCTCCAAGTCGCAAACCGTTTCTGACATTCTATCAGATGCTTTCTCAACAACAAGTTTCAGCTTTTGTGTGTAAAAATGTTATCCATCTGCTGGTATAATAATTTAAATTAGAATTTAAAGCATCCTTTTCTATTCCTTTCCACGTGTACCCAAAAGAATGAGAGAAAAATTTGCATTCTGTCAAACAAAGATGAATTCTATTGGATGGTGGGATGACATTGATCTTGAGCTGATAACCACCTTTCATTGGATTTCATTTAATAGTACTTGTATAATTTTATACTACTATGTGATGAATAAAATAGGTTTCTTAAGGTCTTGTGACATGCCAATTTCAAAATTTCTGTCCATATTTTATGTATGCTGTAAACATAAAATGTAATGCTAATGATGAAATTTTGTAGTGATAAATAGTTTATAGTCATCTATATGTAATTTTTTATTATATTCAAACAGGGATTTCCTGTTTCAAATAGTAACATACTTTTTAATATTTTGGTGGCTTTATATTTGTACCATTTTATACTCAAGAAATAAATTTGCTTTAACTGAAATTTACTATTTTCTGATTATCTTCAACCTTGGTTGCAATATCTGATAGAATTGCCATGTTTTGGCTTACTTTCAACCAGGGCCGTGGAGTCGGGCAGATTTTGGGGTGAAAGGAGTCAGTCGGAGCTGGAGTCGCTAAAAATAGGTCGACTCCAATTTTTGTTGGACAGTTTGAATTTGAAATGAACTTAAAATGAATAGAAAATGTTAATGACAACCTGAGTTATTATTTTTATTTATGAACTGTATACATTAATAAATAGTTAGTTTCTATTTTATTGACGTATTAATAAATAAATATAAGTAAATTATGAGTTTTACTGACACTTTACACAAGAACTCAAAAATGCACTGTATATGAAAATTTATTAATTACTCAATAAGCTGCAAAGTTATTGAGTTATTGACCACATCTCTCGGTGGTGTCTCAGAACACACTCAAATCTCAATACAAGTGGCCGCAAGGTGGTGCTATAAACAAATATCAGCGTCATCTCTTAAGAACACGAAATATTATACATTTTTTCACAGATGGCGCCTCTGGCGTCTACATACCGTCCGGCCTTAAATATTGCAAACATTCAGCAATAAATTTAGAAACACAAAAATATACCAAATACAATGCTATAACACTAAATTAGTATATCAATTAAACACAACACTCTAAGATAATGATAACAGTATTGATAGTTATACAATAATACAGTAATACTCAAAACTTGATAATTAACTACAAGTAAAATTTAAGTAATTGAAACTTTTTCATTACCAAAAGGCAAAGTCATGTCATTGTCCTTTTATAGGTTCCACTTTTATCTTTAAGTGTCACGCCTTGAATAGTATTATCTTGACCTGGATGGGTCTTAATAATTCACACTAAATGCCACTTTAAAGGAGAGTAGTTATCCAAATCTTTTACTAAAACTAAATCTCCTTCCTTCATTTTTACATTTCCTTTATACCATTTTGGTCTATTTAAAAGTTTGTTTAGATACTCAGACAACCATTTTTTTTCCAAAAATTTTGATTTAGTTTCTGAACCATTTGCCATCTAGTTAACCAATTTATAGGAATCTCTGTAAAATTAGGTTCAGGCATTGCAATTAAAGATGAGCCAATAAGAAAGTGACCAGATGTCAATACTTCAACATCATTTGGATAATTTGAAATGGGACAAAGAGGGCGAGAATTAAGTACAGATTCAACCTGAACAATTAAGAGTAAAAAATTCTTCATAAATTAAAATTGTTTTTCCCACCACACGTTTCAAGTGATATTTAAGGGTTTTAACACTAGCTTCCCATAAATCCCATAAGTAGAGGGAGGATTAAAATGCCAATTTATGCCTTCAGTAGCTAAATAAACTTTAATTTCTTTCTCACTTTTATCTTTAAATAAAGATTTTAGAATTGCTCTTAATTCTCTATGAGCACCTACAAAATTCCTGCCATTGTCTTTGAAAATATCTGAGGGTTTACCTCACCTGGCAATAAAGCGTTTAAGTGCTGCTATAAATGTTGCACTTGTTAAATCATTTACAATTTCAACGTGCAAGGCCTTCATAGTGAAACATACAAAAATACATACAAATATTTTTCTTACCTGTTTACTTCTACCTACAAAATTTTTTACCACAAATGGACCACAAAAATAGAGTCCTATTCTAGAAAAAATCTCTGAATATGGTCTCTCTTGCAGCTGGTAAATCAGCCATCTGTTGCTGCGCAGATCTGGAATTTACCTTTTTACAAATCATACAATTAAATATAATTTTTCTAATTACATTTCTTGCAGAAACAATCCAAAATTTACTCCTTATAAGTGATAGTGTTGTTTCAGCATCTGCATGAAAATAAAGAACATGAAAATGATTAATCACAATTACAGTAAAATTATGTTTAGTTGGCAGAATCATAGGATGTTTTCTCATTTCACTTAAGTCACTGTTTTTCAGTCTGCCACCCACTCTGAGTACTCCATCATGATCTAGAAATGAAGTCAAATTCAATATTGTTTACTACTATTAGGAATAGGAGCACCCTCTTCTAAGCACTGGATTTCTGTCACAAATGAAGTCCTTCGAACATTTTTCACAATACACCTTAATGTGCTAGAAATAGAAATTTCGCTGGTTGTCAAAGTTCCGACGTAGCATGCAATAGATGCCTGGTGTTATGCAAGTTTCTCTTGCGCCACGCCACTACTCTTAGCAGTTTGTTGTAAGATGAACAATTATTGATGACATCTAAAGGCTCAGAAGTGTTAATAAATGCACATATTTCACTTAGTACTGGTGGTTTTAATTCGTGAAGATACAGTTCTTTGGACTCCTCAGGGATATCATCTTGGCACTTAGTTATCACAGGTTGTAGAAGAAATGTGGGACAACACCGCAGTTCACACAGCTGAAGTTTGACCAGATCAGTACTTCTTGATATGAGATCCGCAGGGTTCTTTTTAGATGGGACGGGATGCCACTGTTCAACAACAGATAAATTTTGGATGATCGATATTCGATTAGCAAGAAAAGTTTTGAGATCTTTACATTTCTTTCTTAACCATGCCAGTACAATGGAGCTATCTGTCCAGAAAAAGGTTGTAAAAACCTCTAGTTTTAGTGCACTTAAGACTCTTCTCATCAATTTAACTAGTAGTTCAGCCGCAGAGTTCGAGTCGCAGTATATATACATTTTAGAGGTGTTACCCTGGATTTACTAATGAGAAGTTTAACTTCTGATTCACCATAAGAATTGATTGATTTCACATAGATGAAATATACATATAAATAAATATAGTCTGCTCGCAGCTTCTCAAGTTCAAGCAATTGGCTCTCGTCACTTTTTCTTTCGTCGATAATATTATTTGCTATACCTTCAACTAATGCAGGAGCATTCTTATAGCTTTCACTGTTTTTAATTATATCAAATAAATGTGATATAGTTTTTGCTTCTAAAATGTCTAAATTTAGTTCTACAGCAATATGTTAATAATCTTCTTCTTCTTCTTTCTTTTTTTTTTTTTTTTTTTTTTTTCACTTAGTTAAGGCCACATACCTTCTACTTAAGAATAATCCACAAGTTTTCTTTCATAATCGTTAAATTTCGAATTTGACACATTCTACACAATTTGGTACCCACGTTTTGACTATTGTTGTAACTCCGGCAAGTTAAGGACAAACATCAGCGTCATCTCTTTCGAACACAAACTATTATATATTTTTTCACAGATGGCGCCTCTGGCGTCAACAATAAGGGAGGAGGATGGATGTGATACTTGCCATTAGTGATTAAACTGATTTAGTTAGAAATGTCACTGGTAAATTTAGGTAAGCAGCAATAGCAGTAAGAACTCCCGAAATTAATGCCATTTTTAGGAAGCAAGCAGGAAAAGGAGCAATTATTGATCAAGCAACGCGATAAGGAAGTACATATTTGATCATAAAGAGGTTGTTAGAATTAAGAACTTTTTTAGAAAATGTAGATAACTCTAATTTTCCACTAACAGAAAGACTGTAGAATGATCTTGCAGAATTGGAAACTCTTCTTTCTACACCGAATATATCCACAAAAAAGCTGCAATCTGAAGAATTGACAGGAGGTGAGAATGGAAGAATGTGATGTTTGTTCTTTCTGAAATGGAGGGTTATTGCAGAAGGAATCATTTCTTCAATGAAGAAAAGATGAACTAGTTTGCTAGACAATGAGATCTTGCTGGGTTCAATATATGTAGATCCGAAGCATTGAATTTTCATGGATAAGGAACAAATTAAAAGGCAAAGAAAGTTATCTATGAACTTTCATTAAGAATGATACTATTCTCAGAACAATTGGAAAATTCAAATGAGAACAATCAAATTGCAGACATTGCAATTGAGTCTCTATCATCCTCTTCTAAAGATAAGTTAGATTTTGAGAAATATTTTTGGATAATATTGAAAAAGGCTAAGGCAATGCGAATGAAAATAAAGAACCAGGAGCCTTTAGATATAAAAATGAAAAAATGCAAACAAGATATCTACATGGCCTTTGAAGAAATAGAGAAATATGATTTCACTTGCAGAAGCTATACTGTTTCTTAGAAATAACTAATGCCAGGTTTTCCATTTCATAATAAATGCTAATTAATATAAATAATTTGCTATGCCATCAGGTTTTTTTTTTTTTTTTTTTTTTTTCCCCCCTGTAGCATTTATTACTTCTTTTATAATAAAAAAAAAGTAAGCTGTAACCCATGTGTATATACATGTATATATGAGGGAGTCTTTAAAATTCCAGGAATTGTTCATTTTCCCTACCGACTCTATCCCTGCTTTCAACCATATATGTGACAAACTGTATAGTGAACCTATGTGTATTTTAACTATGTGTGTGTGGATTAATCTGCTTTATATTTAATTTATTAGAATATGCATCATTATAATGTTGGACCAGGCACTTACTAGCTAGAATTGTCTATATATATAACAGCCTGGTAGTTACTGCCTGGAATTATGGCTGAGCTTATTGGTCATATCTGAGAATCTCCCTCATGATACACTTACTGCAGGGTTATGTAATATTGCATTTGCCCAGATATAGAAAGGCAAAGCATTAGCAAACAAGCCCTAAATTTGATAGGAATTGATTTCTTCATATTCAATTTCTAGAGTTACCTGTATTAACCGATTATACTGTTCAGGCAACACGGGACTTCATTAAAAGTGCTCAATTTTAACTATTTATTCTTAAATGTCACTCCACATTTTAATTAAAAAGAATACTCAGTTCTAGTCAGCAGAAGCATCTGAATGTTGTACTAGAGAATATAGTAAATATTCTTATGTTTTTATGTTCTTTTATATTGCAGCAACATATGGGGTGGTATCAAAAAGTTTCGAGACTAGCTCTGTTTGCAAGAAAGTACTTTATTTGTGTACATTTATACACTGTTACCCTGAAAATAGTCACCTTGTGCAATAATACGGTATTCCCAGTGTTTTCTGCCACTGTTGGAATGTGTCTTAGAAGTATTCATTTTGAAGAGTTTCAAGTACCTTCTGGGATTTGCATTGGATCTCTGAAATGGTGTTAAAATGTTGTCCTTTAAGCTCGGTCTTCAGCTTCAAAAAAGTGACAAAATTCACAGTAGCCAAATTTGGCAAGTAGAGTGGGTGTGGCAGTGCTATCATTTTGTTTTTGGCAAGAGCTTTATATATGAGCAGAGCATGATGACATGGCACATTGTCATTGTAGAACAGCCAGTTTTTCATCCATCATAGATCCGCTCAACTTTGCTGAATGTTGACAATGGCAGCAATGTTGTGGATTGTTCTCTGATAATCCTCATGATAATCCTCAAAACCGCAAATGAATCCATTTGCGCTTTTGCAGCTGAGGATGGTGGTTCGGTAAAACCATTGGAACTAGTCCTGTGAAAATTTTGAAAATTAACGCTGATTTTTGTTGTTTGACTTGTGAATTAGTACTTATTCGGTGTGTGTTTGTGTCTTAATATTGTGTGTGTATTAGTACTAAGGGTTAGTTTAAGTTCTTATTTCATCACTTTGAATGTATATTGCTTAAAAAATTAAATAAAATGTAAGTTTGAAATAACCCTTAATGTTTTTCAGATAACCAAAAATTTCAAGGTTGGTGTAATGTATTGTAAGGCTGGTCAAGCTACTGAAGAAGAAATGTATAATAATGGTATATATTTTCTTCTGTTCACTCATTAAATTCTGCATGTTCATTAAATTTTTGAAAATATAATTATATATTTCTTTCTTAAGATTTTCTTGAACTGCTTCATGAGAAACTAAGTTGCCAGAAAAACCAACTTCAGATGTTATCACCAAAAAAGAAAAATCTTTTTTTGAATAAATTTCAATTGAATTACAGTTAATTTCGATTTATTGCATAATATAAAAAAGGAAAATGTATAAAATTTAAGAAGGTATAAAGCGCTGAGGGGAAAATACCCTAGAAATGCAGTTTAGTATGATAGAGTTCAAAACAGGGTTCAAGTCCAAAGTCCAACTTCACAGTCTTTGCACCAGATTCAATAAATCTAATTAATAATCAGTCTAATTAATAATTCAATAATTTAATTAAATAATCAAGATAATCGCTGAATGTTTTCTAGCAGCCATTTCTGTAAGAAAAACGCTGGAAAAAGTGAAGTTTGAGCGCTAATACCACATGCCTTCAAATGCCACAATTTATTGGACAACTAACGATATCTGTTGGCCCAAATGTAAACTAAACGCCTAATACTGTATATAATTTATTTCAATGGTTAAACGTGGGAAAAACGGAATCTGCTCCTCAATAAAATGCCTGCAGAAATCGCAAGGATGAGCAAATTTTGCTACATTTGAGTTGGCCGTCGAAATCGCGGGATTATCAGCCAGAGGGTTAAGTAATAAATATTGCTCATTATATTTGTTTTGTTTAGGTAACAATTAAAGGTAAAAATAAACATACAATTTAAAGTTTTTTTCACATGATAGATTTCATTATTTAAAAATGGTAGATTTTGAGGTTTCTTAGAATATAAATTGACCTGTTCTCTCAATATGTATTTTTTTGTCATTTTCATAAGTAATTTCATAAGTCATTCATAAGTAAGCTTTTATTCATCAGATTGTGTTTCATAAAAAATTTCATTTTTGTGTATTATAGAATTTCCTGGTCCTGCATTTGAAGAGTTTCTAGACATGCTTGGACAAAGAGTGCGCTTAAAAGGTTTTGATAAGTATCGTGGTGGTTTGGATACCAAAAGTAAGCATTTTTTAATTGATTTTAAATTGTATAAAATTTTCCTAAAGTCATCTAACATGGAAGAAACTAAACTGAAATAATTTTGGATTGCATCATTGTGGTTGAATAGTTGAAACTGATAGATGCAAGCTTGCTTTGAAAAATTTTAATTGTGTATTCCTGTCTTTTACTTTCATCAATCTTAATTCATGTTAGAAAATATTAAGTTCACTCAAAAAAGAAGGTGGCAGGCAGTAATTTGTCAATAACTATACTGATCTCTCTAAAGATACAAGACATTCAATAAAATTTTATGTTACTTGTTGATTAACATTATTTGGTATTTTGAGTTGTACTTTGAGTTATACAGTTACGTGCATTGCTCTTAACGGTTAAGTTAAGGAACGGTGTGTTTTTCAAAGCTCGCCATTACAACAATATTTAAATTCACAGTTAATATGCATGACAGGAACAGCGTTTAAGAAAAATATGCAAAAACAATATCTACCACTTTTATTTTATAGAAATGAATGCTTATACAGTCAAAAGTCTTTAATCCGGACTCGTCCAGACTTTGTCGATTCCGAATTATTGATTTTTCCGGATTATAGATCATCAGTTTAAATCTAGTAAGATGGCATGCAGAATTTATAAAATTACAAATATGAAACCGTAATTTATGAAATAAAGAACAATTATGATCAAAAAGGTATCAAAATTTACAAAAAAAAAAAATTATTTGTTTACTTTATTAAACATTTCTTTCAACACATGCATGCGTAAAGCATACATTGTGCATAGTCGAAATTAGAAAATTGCAACCAGAAAACTATTTGATGTGTATTCGTGATATTTATTATGGATTTGATTTAAATCATATCAAAGACAGAGTACATCAAGATGAAATACTACATTTATTAATGAACTATAAGCCGAATAAAATAAAAACATCTGCCCTGAAGATAAGGATAGTGCTGACAGATCAACTTCCAGTTCATTGCGCACCACGACATTCCCCTCCCCTGCAGAGCAGCGGAAATTGATAAACAGATTTCGGAATGGTTAGAGAAACAAAGGATATGCCTTTGTCCATTTTTTGCAGCAATTCCACTTTTTGTTTGATGGACATCGAAACATGCTTTTGCTTTGTAGATCCTTTGGCAGTATCCAGCATCGGAAATTCTGTTTGACATAATCGAAAGTTCAAGCTTACTTTTATAAAATTGCTTTAACAATCTGCAAAAAATAATAAGCCGCATCCAATTCGAAGATTAAGGAACAATGCAATCTGCAACATTAACTGAAATAGATATTTAGATAATTTTAGCTTAGCTTATACCGTCCGTTATACATTAAATGCGCATGCATAAATGTATTATGCGCATGCGGGAACGCATTACGTGTTGACGCATGCGCAGAAAGTTTGTAGCTTTGAGGTCTCGATTACAGATCATTTCGGATTATGGGCATCCGGATTAACGACTTTTGACTGTGTAGGAGTAGGAGAAAAAAGTGCAAAAATTGTAATATTTGTTCACGAGTGTTGATCTTCAGTTGTTTATTACAGTTTCATGAACAATATCCAGGAGAGGCTATCAATGTCCGGGAGAAGTTGTTTGCAAAATTCGTTGAGGTGGCAGCCGATGGGATGGATGGAAATGGGGATGGCACTAGCTGATGCTGCCGTCTCTCGTAGTGTGGTCCACCGACTATGGAATCAGTTTTAATCCGAGGATTCTATGTCTAGAAGACATGTTCCACGCAGACCAAGAGTTACAACACCTGCGGGAGACTCTTAGCTCTTTCAGCCCGAAGGAGGAGTAACATTACTTTGCCTAGGAACAAGAGTCTCAGCTACTACAGTTGTGCAGACACCTGCACAATGTAGGTCTGTATGCAAGATGACCAGTTGTTTGTGTCGCCTTCCCCCAAGGACACAAAGGTGCCTGTTTATGTTGGGCAAGAGAAGATGTCTCCTGGACCAGTCAGCATCTGTTTTCTTCACATATGAGTCCAGGTTCACATTAGAGAGTGATTCAGGTTGTGAGCTCATCTAGAAGAACCAACCCACATTCTGGAGAGACACAGTTACAAAGGTGGGAGAATAATGGTTTGGGCTGGAATCTCTCTCGATGGTCACACTGACCTGCATGTGTTCCATGGAGAACCTTTGACCAGAGGGAGACATCGAGATGAGATCCTTGATCAGTATGTCCGCCCATATGCCACTGCTATTGGTCCTGAATTTTTTATGATAGACGACAATGTGCGACCACACTGAGCTTGGGTAGTTGAAGAATATCTTGAGGGTCAATGGTGTGGAGCAGATGGAATGGCCAGCTCAATCCCTAGACCTGAATCCAATAGAGCATCTTTAGGGGCTACCTTGGAAGACAGGTTGCTGCTTTAAGTCCTCCTCCAAGGTCGTTATACGAGCTTTAAGAAGGATTTCTCCGTGTGTAGTCATTGCTTCCTATTTCACCGACTGACAGCTTAATTGACAGCATGGAACATCACTGCTGCCAATGTATTGCAGCTAGTGATGAGCACATTCCATATTAGAACCCATTTTTGTAATGTTACCACCCATTTTTCCTTAAAAAACTGTGATATGTTGTTTCTCTAAGACTGGATTTTTCTGCCAAGAGTGCAGCTTTTTGTTGTAATTCATGTTTGTGTTAAACTTTAGAAACATTCTATGTCGCATTCATTAAAGAGCTGTTAATTGAACATGTCCTGTAAATTTCTTGTTTCTATGTTACTTTTCTCAAGTTAGACACAAAAAACATGCTGTTCCTTAACTTTTGGAGGGCAGTGTATTTATAATGGAGTGTGTAAAAAATTTTTTGTAAACTTGAAGAATTTTAATTGGCAATAGGAATTTTAATAGGCTAGAAGTACCAGATAGAGCATGTTTGGGAAATGTCCATTACATGTGTAATGATTAACATTGTTAAAATCTGTTCATTGGCTCAACTTTTAATTCTTAAATTTTCAAGTTTTGCTTAATAAGCATTATTAGTTGATATTTTCTTGGGTACTTGTATTCTCTAGTGGCCTTGACGAGAATGATAATTCAGTGAGTTTCTGCATCTGTGAGAAATAAATAATTACTGGTCTGCAAATGCGCAAGAAACAATCTAACCAGTTTTCAATAATTAGTAAATTGAGTAAAATACTCATTACGTGTACTATTTTCAGTCAGTGGAAAAAGGGAGCTATAGTTGATGTTTGAGGATTTATTAGCAGCAGTTGCTGATCTGTGGATACAAAAAAAGTCTGCAAAAAATTTATCTTCTGATATGTTTATATATGTTGATTTTTTAATAAACTAAACTAAACTCAGTGGTGCAACAACCCTAGTAGGCCAAGGCCAGCAGTGCCTCGAAATCTGCTTTCTTGACCGTGGGCCCCAGGGTGTGTAAGCATATGCTCTGAACAAGTATGCTCTGAACAAGTGGTCAGCTTGTCGCAGGACCCTCAGTGTTTAGTCCCCAAGTGAATTTGGTACTCATTTTATCGACCCAAAGGATAGAAATCAAGGGATGAAAGGCTGGGTCAACCTTGTCCAGCCCAGGGATCAAACCCCGGATCTGTGATGCTGCTGTGCAGTGCACCAGCTACTGCGCCACTGTGCCTGATTGTTTAATAAACTGCTAATAAAACTGCATAAAATTGAATTTTACAGTATGTTTAAAAATGGTTTTTGGCTCTTTTACATATGTTGTATTAAGTACAATTATAATATTGTATTTAATACGATGTATATAAAAAAGCATAAACAACATAAATTATTAATTAATTATTCATAATTATTTAATTATTAATATGTGATAATTAGTGTATATATTAAATAATATATGTTGAATTATATTATTTAAAATAAAATTGCTGACAAAATTATTTAAATATTAAAAATACAAATTTATGTTAAATTTCTTTCATAAATATATAATTATGATTAAATTCCTTGTATATTCTTCTATATATATTGAATAGTTTGGGATGATAGGTATTAATGAATTACTGTTTACCAAAGTCAACTTCATTCTCGTGTGTGCTTATAACATTTGGCAACAAATCATGCTTTCTTGAGTCTGAATTGCATTAGCACAATTTTCTCTCATCAAGGCTGCTACGGAAAATAAATTCCAATCATTAAAAACATTGGTTGGTTGAACTTTTAGTTCTGCAAACTTTAAATTCTGGTTCTAATCTAGTAATTTGTATTAATAGATATCTTGTTATTTGCTATGCTTTTAACAGCTGATACTACTGGGCTTTACTCCATCTTCAACACTCATCAAGATTGTGAGGTGATGTTTCATGTATCCACCCTTCTGCCATATACTCCAAATAATAAACAACAAGTATGATGATTTAGTTGTATTGAACATTAGTTAATTTTGAATATTTACCATTTTTTTATCATAATTATCTTTGTTAGTCCAAAGGGGCTTTGTCCCTGAAGGACTATTGTTTTCGTGTTTGAACAATTTTGTGTCGAAAACTTTAAAAGGCTGTATCACTTTTCAAATCATTGCCACCAAGTACTATCACCCTGTATTATATTTGAAGAAATTAAATAATGAAGAATCTGTGTAAATGTATGTATGTTTCTCATGTTGTAATAAAACAATGGTACCTAGAGCCATCCAATTTTGAATGATGTAATCTTACTGCAAATATAGGCATCTGTAAGCCCAAATTTGAAATTTGGAATTTGTTTTGTTATCAATTTCATATTTTGTAAAACTAACGAATTTTTGATTAAAAAACTCAGCATTTTAAAAGCGAGCAATGGCAACACTCTGCCGGGGGGGAACCTTTTTGTCTCCAGCGCAAGAAACTGTGTATTGGAAATTCTAAAGATATTGTTACTTTATTTTCTACCTTTACGTTCATATGGGATTCGTAGATTTGGAGTGAATAATGACGATGGTTGATGAAGTATCGAAACGCACTTTTATTTGGCCAATATTAATCAGGACAGCTCCAAAGTCACTTTTACAGTCTTTGAACTGTTATAAACACGCTGACACTTTCAGCGACACAGCCTTCACACTGTCAGGCAATAACGATGGAGACAGCTTCGCTGCAAAGCTCCCGACTCTGCTCGGTCATTCTCGGAACTTCATACTCTCTACGCTACAGCTCACGATGCACTCGACAACACACGAGCACAGCTCCCGACTTTTCGGTTCAGTTGCTCCCGGAGCTCAACACGCTCTCTCGATGATACACTAACCATGATATACTACAAGAATCTTGCGGTGCACTCGACGACCCAATCGGCACTCCCTGCCCGGCTGTCCACTTGATCCACTGCGCAGGGGACTGATTCGCTAGACGAGACACACAGATTGACTGACTGCAGACCAGCAGGGTTTATATAGCTTTCGGCTTGTGTTCGATAACATTGTGGGCTAAATCGGTAAGAATTCATTCCAGAAGGTTCTCCATCCGTCCATGGTATATCACCAGTTTTCGTCACCAAATGGGCGATTTCTCACCAAATGTGACAACCTTGCCTTCCCTCACCATTTTATGGCAACCCCAAAACTGCTTTACGGGGAAGCCATCTTACCGCGCCTGTACATTTCGTAACAATATGTTCATTTTAAAACCATTTTGTGACATTACTGTTGAACTGAATTTTATGGTTTACATGATACTTAACAAATAAAGGTAACCCACAAAATTTTTAAAAAAGGTCCCTTTGGACGTAATTTGAAATCTGAAACCGTTCAGGTTTTTTAAAAGCTTTAATGAAGTTTGAATTAAGTTAACTTATTTTCTTTTGTATCTTTCTCCTTTCTTAACTTTTTTTTTTTTTTTTTGTCCAGGAATCGAGAAGGAAAAAATTATGCAAGCATTTAATTTTTGAAGAACGTGCCTACAGTAAAATCATAATAAATGAAAAGTAGCCATGGATAAGCTACTAGCAACTATCACAATGTTAATCTTTTAAAGAAACCTGCATTCCATTAAAAATGCGTAGTACTTGTAACATTAACATATCTTCAAATAATTCAGCTGAACATGGCATGTTCCAGCTCAGTTACCTTATAAAGCCCTAGGGACACCTCATATGAATGAGTCTTGATTGCAGCTTGTGAGTGAGACACCAGAGGAAGGAAGGAGATGGGGATTAACAAAGGATCTGGATTGCGAGAAAAATGTGAAGGAAAATAAAATCGAAGAAGTACAAAAATATACAAATTGTACATTTACATTTAAGTATGACTTGTGTGCAGTAAATAAGAATAATTGGGGAAATACCTTTTACCAAACTAGCCAGCCATCAGAGGGAAATACTGTGTACAATGGAAGAAGTGAAAATTTTTGCAAATATTAAACATTTTCAGAACCTAATGGCTTAAAGAGCCTGGGACGATAAGGAAATGTGGTACTGTGTTTTTTATAATTTTAAGAGGAAAGCAGTGCTGAAGAAGTTTGCTAAATTATAATGAGGAAATTGTTTTCCAGAAATTCATTCCTATGCAGAAAATTAAGAGGAAACTGTTATATAGAGCAGTGTCTCAAATTGGCCACATGCAGCCCGGGCCGCGAAGTCACTTTGCATAAATTAATTATTAGCATTATTATTGCAAGAATTTGAAGAAAGGTTTAAGATTTTAACGATTTGAGTGTAATTTTACATTATTTTCACTGCCATTAAAAACAAATATCAGTAGTGCCCAGAAAATCTATAAATTGCACTAATTAGTTTACACTAATATGTAAATCTTATTCAAAGATTTGAGTGCACAGATTTGTTTGCAACTTTCAAAAGATAAATACCTTCAGTAACAAACTTTTGTAATAAGAATAATTGTTTTGTTTGGGAATGCATTCATATGTGAACAAATTTTTTCCACCCTAAAAAAATAATAAGTCTTAAAAAAAAAAAAAAAAAAAAAAAAAAAAAAAAAGAGAAAAAAGAGAGAGAGAGAGAGAGAAACAAGAATGACCAATAAGCATCTAGAACTTGTGATGAATGTAGTTTCTAATAATTTGTCTCCAAGGTTACTAACTTTATGAAAACTGAAATGCCATGAAGTGATGCAACTGAAAGTTGTAGTAAAAAGTAAAGAATTTTGCAATTATTTGCAAAAAAAATATATGCTCCTAGAAAAAATTTAATCACACTTACAAAAAGCGGCATGTAAATGTTGTTTGGCGAGTTGTGTAAATGATTAAAGTTTCAGCTCGAGTTAGCATTTGTGAAGTGATATAGTGCATGTCTGAAGTGTGCAGCTGGTAGAATGTTAAAGGGCAGGAGCGGCAAGAAATGAGCATTTACAACTACAATGACAGCTTGTATACATGACATTGTAACAAAAGATGCCTTTAAGATGGACTTGACACCATTATGAATAGTTGTTTGAGAGGGATCACATCATAGGGCGAATACTCCACCATAAGCATTGTCATCTTGCATCGTGCCGCTCTTGCTCAAGTTGGATGGTGTCTAGTTGGAGAAAAGTGATCTTCAGCAGTGAATCACACTTTTCTGTCAATGCTGATGACTACTGCATGCTTGTCTGGAGATTGAGAGGTATCATTTGTTTGGTCAGTGTATCATTTGTTACTGAGCTGCATACAGCCAGAACACAGGGTGTCACAGTATGTAGAGTGATCAGCTGGGACAGCCATTCACTGTTAGATATGCGGCGAGGTAATCTGACTGCTCACAGGTGCATTGGCACCATTTTGCAGCCTGTTATACTGCCTATGCTAGCAGGACAACTCTGAATCACATGTAGTACGATTTCCCTAACAATATCTTCAAGGTAAATGTCCTTGATTGTCCTCCCAAGTTTGCAGACCTATCTGTCACTTGTTGAACATGTTTGAGATGTATTACTCCGGCATATTCATCCATATAGAAATACATCCGAACTTGCTGACCAGTTGCTCAATTTTTGGCACAGTCTACCTCAGAAAAAATTACTTGGACTTCATACTCAGCCGTATATCGGCTTGTGTGGCTAGCTGTCAGGAATGGCTTTACCATCTGCTGATTTGTGCATTGTTTGTATTACTACTCTTAAATAAAAAATCCCTTTTTTTTTTACACCAGTTTTTGATCGTTTGTTTATTTAATTGAACTCTATACTTGTGCAGGAATTTCATAGTTGTCACTCAGTTCTTTCTGGGTACATACTTTTCTTTAAACAGATTATGCAAGTTTATGTATTTTTTTCTCTGTGCATCAAAGAAAAATTTAATAAATAAATGAAAAATAATTGGTTGTCATTATTTGTTCTGAAATTTTGTTCTGTGAAAGTTTTTGTAATTTGTTTAAGTAAGTGATTTGGTGATTAATTCAATGTTATTTGAAATATTTAAAGTTTTTTGAAATAAATAAGTAAATGTCAGTCCGAAAATATTATATTTAGCTATCGACAGGTTTGAGTTACGTAATGTAAACTACTGGAATTTCTTGCAGATATCAACCTTTTAGATTTCAGCCAAAAAAATGTAAATCAGAATTTTTTCCTTTGCCTCATTATTATTACTGTTTATATATGTTCTGGAAAATATTTAGTAAAGAAAATTTTTAATTCAGTTTAAAAAATTTGTTTTGTTTAAAAAAAAACTTTTCATTTTAGTATAAAAAGGAGAAAATTTGGTCAATCACTTGAAGTTAGATAGTGCATTCGGCACACATACAGTTTGATTTTGAGACCTCTGATTTTCCATTGAGCTAAAAACTCGTATTTGAAATTTTCTTTTGCAGTTACTTCGGAAAAGACACATAGGAAATGATATTGTGACCATTGTCTTCCAAGAACCTGATGCTCTTCCATTTACCCCCAAAAACATCCGATCTCAATTTCAGCATGTATTTATTGTAGTCAGGGTTGTCAATCCTTGCTCTGATAATACTTGCTACAGGTTTGTATTAATTTTTAATGCCATTTCATTCTTTTATCTATGAGTGAATTCATGTCCCTGTTATCGAATAACTATTATGTTTTTTATTTCCTTTAATCCTTTGGATTCTCTCCCCCCTCAGAAAAAAGTCAGTTAAGTCTTTGCTTGTCACATGGTTAACATATTAGTAATGATCAATATGAATAACAACATTTTTTTGCATTTATTTGTTTATTTTTAATATGATAGAAAATAGCATGGTTGTGCTATTGTACCACTAGGACTTTATTTACTTTTGATGACCCTGTAAAAATAAAATTGTATCATTTATGGGGGAGTTCAACATTTCAAACTGTGCATTACCATTTTGCGTCTTGGGGTTAAACTTCTGCACTGCGTAAACAGCAACCCAAAGACATCCGATATATTACCATATGCACTGCTTGTTTTCAGTTCTCGGATGGAACAAAGCATCTGTATTTTCTGGCATTTATGTTGATATCTTAACATTTTTGTCACTGTTTTCACATTTTTTGTAGTGCTATCAATCTTCTTGCTGCAGATATTCAAAAATCTTTCCATAGTAAAGATTGGCCTTCACTCCTCATAGAGAACAAGATGCATGAATTTGTAACTTTCACATTGGGAAATATCCAAAAATATATGTAGCCACCAGTGTAAGGCAAATGACTTGCTGGCCATTGCACAGATGATATTGAAATTTTATTTGTGCAAAATACATAAAAAACAAAGTTGAGGCACTCTACAAATGCTATCAGACCAAGAAAATGGTGATGTTGATGAAATGTTTCATTTTATCCTGAACTTTAATTTGCACATCAAAAGATGGCAATTCGTGATACCTATTTATGCATGTGGTTTCAAGAGAAAGCTAACAGCTTACATCCTATAGAATTTCGAATTGGTGGTTGGTTGCAATGTTAGACCACTGGCAAGGTATTAGGCATAGTACAGAGCATCAGTTTTGGTCATCTCCACAAAAGTTTTGGAACATTAGATTATGTTAATCTTCATTTTTTATGTGCCTACATGAGTGTTGGCACTTTGCAAAATGTTGCACATGACTGTCAACCTATGGCATTGATGATCACCAGTTTAATTATGACATTAGAAATATCCTCAAGTGAAATGTTTTTATATTTTTTGATTGTAATAATGTATTAATTACTGTATATTTACCATCTGTGCAAAGTGGCAAGTATTATTGTTGAGCAAAATGTAAGATCTCTGATTTTCCTTCAGGTTTGCAAATAGCCAATTCTCAGAGTGTTAATGCTTGGCAATTAATTTGTTTTTCAAATTAATCAATCTGTTACCGCTTCACAAACTTGATTAATACCCTTCTCTCAAAATATATCTGGAGAATTAAGGATTTGTTAAAATGGCCAAACTTTGTGGTTGAACCATCTCATCGCAAGAGTTATTGCCCAGAATGCCAGTTCTCAGAGTGTTGCAGCTTGGCAGCTGTCTTAATTTGTTTTTCAGATGAATTTATCTATGAGTGCTTAATAAACTGGAGTGAATAACCACCACCAATGACTGGACATATGTTCTGTAAGCAGTTAGAATTCGTCAAATTTATTAACTGAACCATATCATAATTAGAGCATTTCCCAGAATGTACCACAGAATGATCTGTGTTGCATTTGAAAAAGGGAGAAGAAAGACAACAGCCTAATCTTATGTAGGAATGAACCCACCCTTGCAGGTTTGGACTAAGAGTCAACCTTTGTTGGCAACTGCATCACCCAGAGCAACAAATGAGTGATTTTAAAGTAGAAAATACATTTTTTGAAAATTGACTGTGTCATCCCACACTAGCGACTGTTAACCAATAAATTGCTGTTAATCAACAACACCATGACCCTGGTGCTCTTATTCACATATCATCCTGTAGTTCTACAGTAATCAGTCTCAGTTTACTGTGTATATTGCACCAGTGACTATTAACCTACACGTGACTAATGCCTTAGGAAACATCTTTATTTTAAGAACCTATATAATAGATAGTTTGATATTTATTTAATTTGCATATTGAGCTAATAATTCTTATGAGCATTATTTAATTTTAACTGCTGGTAACTATTTATTTACTTTTGACTTTCTGATTAAATTTGAAACATAGATATAATACCCTTTGCAGAATGGCAACACAAAGCATTTTAACAAAATTATATTAATTTCACACAAAATAGGAAGTAAATCTAAGGCAAATTCAAATATTAAAAATTTGGACCTGTTTGGATGGAGGACTATGTATGTTCCAAATTGGGTGATTCTATGTGTTGCCATTTTTCCATAATGCAAGCAATATACATACATGCACTTCACTCTTAATAACAGAGATAAGAGTGTTATTTAATAGATATATTAATTATTATATTAAACAGAAGTGTTTCTAACAAAATGTTGTGTGTGTATGTTCATAATAGATTAAATGCACACAGAATAGCTGATAGCTAGATAAAATTTATGTTGCCCAAAGAAACACTTCGCATTTCTGTAACTTTTCACAAAAACATTCGTACAGCTCTTCACAGTATCACCACAAAAACACTCGTACAGCTCTTCGCAGTATCACAGAGTGCAATCATTAGTTACACTTCAAACTACTAAGAACATTAAACGCAATGCATTATCAAGCACATATAAAAGGCGAAACTCTCATGGGTATCTGTCTCAGTACTCTGAAGTCGCTCTGAACTAACAACTCGGAGCTGATGCTGCATCCAGTCTTATATAATTTTCACCAGACTGCCAAGAAATCTCTTATTACTTTCGGAAATTAAAAGGGCATATATTGATAAAGTTGCATCTGAAGGCCAGATATGGTTTTAGAGTTGCGTATAGTAATCAATTACATTTATTCAATTACAGTACTCATTTACAATTGCACAGCGACCAAACAAAATGGTCGCCAAGTTTGGTGACAAAAATTAGTTGCCAGAGTCATCGCCAGCTTGACAATATCCCAACCAGTTAAGTGAGATAGCCATTTACTCAGTGTAAATAGATTTGTCCCTGTATTCTTATTTTCTAGCAGAGCATCGTCTCTTTAGATTTTCATGGTGGGGGGAAAACTAAGATTTCTCATATATTTTCACTAAAATTATCTACATATGTGCAAAATTACTAACAATAACATATTACATACTTAGCATAGAATTGTTTTCTCATCTTGGAAAGTCTGTTTTGCCAAAGTTTTATATTTTATCATGTATATTTAGTAATCTTTGTTTTAATGCATTCATATATTTATATATGTAATTTTTGCCCAGGGTTGCCGTTAGCCGTTCCAAAGAAGTTGCACCATTTGGACCACCTATTCCAGAAAGTGCAACTTTTCCAAAATCTAAAAAATTTGCAGATTTTTTGCTAGCAAAAGGTTAGGAATTATATTTCTTTTTTATTTTTCCTATGTGATATAAATTTGAATAGTATGTAGATAATGTAGAAATATAGTTTTTTTAAGCATTTGTTGAATTTTTGATTTTTCCTTATTTTCAGTGTTGAATGCTGAAAATGCCGCCCATCGTTCAGATAAATTTGTTACAATGGCTCAGCGGACTCGGCAGGAATACTTGAAGGAGCTTGCCAGCAATCATTGTACAAATACAAGCACTGACTCAGGGCCCAAGTTTTGTATGTATCTTTTAATAGTTTTCTTTTTCTAAGAAATAATTGTAAATGTTTTATTATTTACTTGGTGTACATTGCTGCAAATTTATTTATTTTATTTTAATTTGGATTTTGTATGTATATTTGATCACATTTATTTGGTTCATTTTTATAATAAATTTGAATTTGCAGCTATTCAGTTACATTTGTATATGTTTAGTTGAAATTTTAATTCTGAGTATTAGTGTGAATGAAAAATATAGAGAGTTTTTACGGCTGCTAAGGTAATATACATCATTAACAGGGTTCGTAGCGATCCTTACAAGTGCTTATAAGTCCTTATATTTGAAAATAAAATATGAAGGCCCTTATAGGTGCTTACTTTTTCTTTAAAGCCCATATTTTTTTTATTATTATTATTTATTTATTAATTTTTTAGTGCTTATTTTTTGCTTTTAGTGCTTTTTTAATGAATGCGCATTTCCCCCCCTCCCCGCACCAAAGCGGAAACTAAAATAAACAACTTTTCTTCCTTATATGGAACGTCAGATGGTGAATCATACTCCCAGAAATAGCTTTTCCCCTCTTTCTCTGCATTAAGGTAACCTATGGTGCACGCAAGAGTACAGACAGGTGCACGTCGTTCTATTGGTCAAAGAATTGCGAAAAAACCGTAGAAAATTCCGGTGCATTCGGTATTCTTTTCCTCCCACCCAAATACTACACATGTTTGAATTTCTATAAAGATTTTTATAATTTGCATTCTCGTTCCGCGTGGTCAGTTCATATTCGTGTTTATTATGATCGTTATGCTTATATTATATGTATGTATATGAATATTTATAATAATATAGTTGCAGTAGCTGCTGAAGTGTAGATAAGCTTCCAAGAATGGGTTTATTTTTACGCAGATTAGCTTTCTAAGGAATAATATTTGGAATGGCTTAAATAAAAGGAAAGTAATCGAATAGTCAGAATTTTTTTTTTTTTTTCCAATACATTATACAGTACGAAGGTTGGGAGGTTCTCCCCTTACTCCGCAAAATCTCTAATTTTGTCACTGTTCAATCTGGATTGAATAGGACTAAAGTTTTGCCGTCTACCCAACCCAAGTGAAGAATGATTCTATTCCGGAAATTTAACGCAGTCTGTTCAAAATTAGAATCAAAAACACCCCAGATTAGTGAGTCTCTTTCTTTTCTTTTATTTAGTTCCTTATTCTTCGAATAGCGGCAGCTGTTGATTCCGATTGCGTAATGTCATGTATGGAAGAATTATGCCGCACGTATTGCGCAATAACATTTGTGGTATTTTGCAGAGAGAATTAATTTTGATGTTCAGTCTGAGATTTATTTATGAACACTTAAAAGAGTTTTACTGTGCTTTCTAAGCAAAATATTTCTCATTCCGTTGGTCTATTTTTATATGATGCACATATCGAAATGTCAAAATCATTTATTTAGCCGAGAAATCTAAAGAACAGCTACAATCTCCCCATCCCCTTTTTCCAGTTACACTCGACTATACAGAATATTTGGCAATTTCCGAGTATGCGCGTTAGTTAAGCTTTTGCTGTTAAAGGATGACTGCATGAAGCAATTTCCCGTCTCCTGATTTCAGAAATGTTCCTCTATTTTACTTAAATTACTTTGCTTGGAAATATATGTTAGGGGAAAACTGTTATGCAATGAAAATTTAGAAAATGTTCAAATTTTGATTTAAGTTAAATTATTTAAATATTAATATAAGTGGAAAAATAAATTGTATTTATTATTAGGTGCCAAGCGAATACAATTAATATGACTTATTATTATTTATTTTCTATATTTTGAACTGAAATTTCATCATTAAATCTTGTAATATAGTTTGGTTCTGCATAGTTCTTCCCCCCCTCATTGTAAACTAATTCTGTAAATTGAACTGTCATTTAAAATTTAAAAAAAAAAAAAAGTTAATTGTTTTCTATGGTTGAGGTAATGCCCATTCTCTTAATAAATATTGCATTGCTCAAATTTTAAATTGCAAGTCTAATTTTTCTCTTAAGGTTATGCACTTGTGTACAATGTAATTAGACAGGTGCTTAATTTTTTTTTTCTTAAAATGTGCTTGAAAAGTGCTTATAGGTGCTTATTTTTTTTAATAAAATGTGGCTATGAACCCTGATTAAATATTTCATCCCAAAATTCACAATATCCCCCCTTCCTTAAAAATAGATCTGTCAGTTATTTGTAGTTTTGAATAATAAGTTAAATGTTTAATAAATAATGAAAAATATTAGGAATCATTCTGAGTTTCACCATTGTAGAAAGTTTTTATATATTTCAGAATTACTTAAAACTTAATATTTTTTAGCAATACTCTCATTCGGAGGCAGGAAAAAGGAACGAAGCCGTCCTAGGTTTATTCCAGACACTTACGTTTTAGGTGCAATATCATGGCAAGTACAGGTAATGCAAATTCTGTAAATTTTCTGTGTATATTTTGTATTGCAGTGTTGATGTTGATTCCTTTCATGTTAACTGTATTCATTTATCATCCTGGATGTTGAAGTTCATAACAAATTCGTGGCATAAAAGTATATAATATGTTTCATGTGCCCCAAGATAACCCAAACCCCAAAGCACGAAGTCTGCTTTGTCTAGTTCCATTTAGATTAGGCCACTCTGTATAACCAATTACATTATTTCTGTAGTCGCCCAGTCAGTATAGTAGTTGGTAATGCTGACTGCCATACCAATGGGCTGGGATTCAAATCTCGGAGAAGGCATGGATGTTTGTAAGTGTATAGTGTCTATGTGGCAAGGGGGCACTCATCACCTTATTTCTCTTTAAAACACACGAGATCGCCTTATTTCTCATCAAAATTAGAGCAGAGCTTAACAGTTAACAGGGCTCAGCCATACCTAATATGCCTTTGGGAATGCATGTGTGCCTGCCTTGCTTCAGTCTGTACCTGTACATATTGTTAAGCATTTTGTATGTATGCAAATAATTTTAATTAAATTATATGTGAAATTGTAGTGTGTTTTGTTTAATGTAACATGAAATACTTGAGTAATACTCTGTAGAAAAGTAAGATTATAGGGTGAAGTCTGTTAAACATTAAGGTAAATGTATTAATACCAATTTTGTTAGTAATACAGTCAAAAGTCTTTAAGCCCACCAGCGGCCGAGCGGTAAAGTCGCTGAACACTGGTAGTTCGGTCCGAGGTTCGAATCCCGCGAACGGGCTGGCTGCATGGGCGTTTTCGTGGTTTTCCCCATGTGTAACGTGTATACGAGCCAGTTTTCCTTAGAAAGTCCTCCACGAAGGCATCCCTCCTCTTAGGCAGATAGCCCTCGAGGCTTTGCCATACTCACAAACACACAAAAGTCTTTAATCCGGACTCGTCGGGACTTCGGCGATTCCGGATTATCGATTTTTCCGGATTATAGATCATCAGTTTAAATCTGGTAAGATGGCATGCAGAAATTATAAAATTAAAATGTGAAACCGTAATTTATGAAATAAAGAACAATTATGATCTAAAGGGTATCAAAATTAACAAAAAAAAGCTTAATATTTATTTGCTTACTTTATTAAACATTTCTTTCGACGCGTGCATGCGTAAAGCATACATTACGCATAGTCGAAATTAGAAAATTGCAATCAGAAAACTATTTGATGTGTATTCATGATATTTGTAATGAATTTGATTTAAATCATATCAGAGTATATCGAGATGAAGTACTATATTTAGTAATGAAGTATAAGCCGAATAAAATAAAAACATCTGCCCTGAAGATAAGGATACTGCTGACAGATCAACTTCCAGTTCATTGCGCTCCACGATGTTCCCCTCCCCCGCAGAGCAGCGTGAAATTGATAAACAGATTTCAAAATGATTAGAGAAACAAAGGATATGCCTTTATCCATTTTTTGCAGCAATTCCACTTTTTGTTTGATGGACATCAAAACATGCTTTCGCTTTGTAGATCCTTTGGAAGCTCCAGCATTGGAAATTCTATTTGACATAATTGAAAGTTCAAGCTTACTTTTATAAAATTGCTTTAACAATCTGCAAAAAATAATAAGCCGCATCCAATTCGAAGATTAAGGAACAATGCAATCTGCAACATTAACTGAAATAGATATTTAGATAATTTTAGCTTAGCTTATACCGTCCGTTATACATTAAATGCGCATGCATAAATGTATTATGCGCATGCGGGAACGCATTACGTGTTGACGCATGCGCAGAAAGTTTGTAGCTTTGAGGTCTCGATTATAGATCATTTCGGATTATGGGCATCCGGATTAACGACTTTTGACTGTGTAGGAGTAGGAGAAAAAAGTGCAAAAATTGTAATATTTGTTCACGAGTGTTGATCTTCAGTTGTTATTACAGTTTCATGAACAATATCCAGGAGAGGCTATCAATGTCCGGGAGAAGTTGTTTGCAAATTATATAATTGCTCTAACAGTCTGCAAAAAAATAATAAGCCGGATCCAATTCGAAAATTAAGGAACAACGCAATCTGCAACATTAACTGAAATAGATAATTAGATAATTTCAACTTAGCTTATACCGTCAGTTGTACATTAAAGGCGCATGCATAAATGTATTATGCGCGTATGCGTTGACGCATACGCAGAAAGTTTGTAGCTTTGAGGTCCGGATTATAGATCATTCTGGATTATGGGTGTCCAGATTAACGACATTTGACTGTAGTAATACTAATCTTACTAAATTGGTGAGATATTGTCAAGTTGGTGATGGTGTGGGCAACTTAATTTTGTCGCCAAAAGTTACTAAACTTAACGTCATTTTAGGCTGATCCTTCTATGACTGTAATTGATTCCTGTATATAACTGTAACCATATCCAATCCTTATATTTAACTTATCTTGGTGGCCGGGAGAAAATTATATTAGACCACAGGGAGTATCGGTGTTTTTAGTTCGGAGCTGACTTCGGAATATCGAGAGATTTCATTTTTGAGCTTTACCTTTTAGATGCACTTAGTATTGCATTTAATGTTGTTAGTAGTTTAAACTACTGATTTTGCTCTGTTATACTGTGAAGAGTTGTACAAGCATTTTTGAGGAAAATTTCAGAACTGTAAGTGTTTACGGTAAATGAATTTTATTAAACTGTCATTGGTTTTGTGTGCATTCAATCCATTACAAAATCATATGTACACAACAATATATTAAATTGTGAATCGATTGTAACTGTAATCTTTTTGTTATTTACCTCAATAATAAAACTTTTCCATTCATTTAACCACGGTATAAGGACCAGTGTAAGGTGGAGTTAGAGGTGATTTAACAGAATCGATACGCAGAAATACATGAGAACAGGTTTGAAGTGCTGGATGTACATAAATTGGGGATTGAATATGCCTAGAGGTTGAAATAGGTCTAACTAAATGCCTTTTTATCGAAGTTCTGACACATAAGATTCAGTAGGCGATGCAATATTTGTACCATTCAGCATATCTGACGGTAATCTAAGTGTAGTACCGTGACAGGTTCAGTGCAAGTAGCATTTATATTTTTCTTAATGGCAAAATCTAATACCCAACAGAACAATAGGCAGAATTTCAGTCCATTTTGGGTTGTTATGAGCCATTATTGAACTTTTAAGTTGCCTATGAAATCTCTCAATCAGTCCATTGGACTGAGGATGATAAGCAGTAGTTCTAATGCGATGTGTACCCAAAATTTTCATTAAATCCGTAAAGAGTGATTCAGTTCCTAAGTGAGATTCAAAATTTCGGCCTACTCCCCCCACCCCCCCCCCCCCCCCCCCCCCCCCCCCCCCGCCCCCCCCCCCCCCCCCCCCCCCCCCCCCCCCCCCCCCCCCCCCCCCCCCCCCCCCCCCCCCCCCCCCCCCCCCATGGCCCCCCCCCCTCAGTCCCCCCCCCCCCCCCCCCCCCCCCCCCCCCCCCCCCCCCCCCCCCCTCCCCCCCCCCCCCCCCCCCCCCCCCCCCTCCCCCCCCCCTCCCCCCCCCCCCTCCCCCCCCCCCCCCCCCCCCCCCTCCCCCCCCCCCCCCCCCCCCCCCCCCCCCCCCCCCCCCCCCCCCCCCCCCCCCCCCCTCCCCCCCCCCCTCCCCCCCCCCCCCCCCCCTCCCCCCCCCGCTATCCAGTTATGCACTAGCACAAGTCGCTCTGACTGCAAATCTCACATCAGTTGTTATATACTTGCTATCCAGTCACTAACACTTTGAAGTCGTCTGAGCTGACATGTCGACAGTAGGTATGACTTCTGGCCATCTGGTAAACCTGTCAATAATTGTCATGCAATAACAGTTACCTTCAGACAGTGGAAGAGGACCTATGAAATCAATATGGATATGTGCAAATCTTGCATCAGGCAAGGAAAAAGGTACCCAACGATGATTTCGTATGCCTATGAATTTTAGAACGTTGGCACTGTAGACATAATTGAACTGCAGTTTTAATAAATTTCTTCATATTAGGCCAAAAATAGTGCTAAGTAATTATAGCTATGTTGAAGTTGAAATACCAGCATGAGAGAAAGTCACTGAATCTTCTGAAATATTTTAGAGCGAAAAGATTTAGGTATGAACGGTCGAGGTATACCTGTGTCCATATTACAGTAAAGAGTAACATCTTCTAAAGGAAAGTAATGTTTCTCAAGTTTAAAAACTGGTAAAGATTGAGATAAGTAATTTTGAATTTCAGAGTCCTGAATTTTGTGCTTCGGATAACTTTTTTTTAATAATCAATGTATTGATTATCAGATACTGCATCTATTTCTACCCTAGATAAGGCATCAGCAACGATATTGTCACAACCTTTGATGTATCGTATGTCAGTGGGAAATTGGCCAATACAATCAAGGTAATGAAGTTGCCGTGGAGAACACTTTTCGGGCTTCTGCTTAAAAGCATATATTAAGGGCTTTTGGTCAGTGTAGACTGTAAAGACCCTGCCTTCAAGCATGTGCCGAAACTTCCTAATAGACAAATAAATTGCCAATAGCTCTCGATCATAAGTTGACCATTTCCTTTGACTTTTGCTGAGTTTAACGGATAGAAACGTAATGGGTTCCCAAACTGAATTATGCAGTTGCATTAATGAGCTACCAACCGCAACGTCCGATGCATCAGTACAAAGTTTCAAAGTCGCACCAGGAATTGGAAGAAGAGAGAGAGAGATTTGAGAAGGATTGCCTCAGCAATTGCCTTTTTTGCATTTTCGAATGCTTTCTCGGCTTTCTGTCATCCCATTCGAGAGGATATTCTTTTGTTTTGCTTGGTTATGAAGGTTTCCTTTTATTAATGCGGCCTTCCAGTAACCTATTCAAGGGAACTAAAATTAAAAGGGAGCTTTTACAGACAAAACGTCTGTAAAAATTAAATATGCCAAGAAATTTCCTTAACTGAATTAATGTGTTTGGTTTAGGAAATTTTTGAATAGCTTCTACCCTCTCGGGTAAAGGTTTTAAACCCTGATT